TATTACTCTCTCTCTCTCTCTCTCTCTCTCTCTCACGCAATATCTCTTTCAAGGTAACTTCTCCTAGGTAAGGTAACTTCTTACATCGATTTCCGCCTTTCTCACGATTCTTCTTCTCCGCTTCGAGGCGAAATTCACAACATCAAACCCCTCTCAACCCCCCTTTTCCTATTATTAAACCATCATTTCACACCTTCCAATCCCACACCACCCCTTCATCTCTTCAAACCCCCCATGAAGGCATACTTCAATCTGTGCATTTATACCGCCTAAGCCCCCAAGGATCCCAACATTCCTCACCCTTCTTAACTGTCACTCCCTCCACAAACCCCTCTCAAACAACCCCCCCCCAAAAAAGGTTCCTACGATCGTTTCCTCATTCCTATAATAAGATAAGACACCAAAAAAAAAACACCCCCCCGCGATCTACTCTCCCCCTATCTCATCCCAAGAATTCTATCATCACTACGTTCAGCCATCTAAACAACCCTACCTACCACCCAGCGAAAAGGCGTTTGAATATCAAAACACGCTTCTCGTGGCGCGGATAACGCAAGTACAGGGGTGCGTATTCACTTATAATCGTACGTTGTCAGTGTAGTGGATTGAGTGGGTAAAGGTTAGATAGGTTCTCGGTGCTTGGGCATCGAGTCGTTACGCTGTTACATTAACACATCTATCTCCTTCCATAACCGAAATCCCGACTTATGATTCACGCACCCTCCGCACCACAAATCGCAGAGATTGAAAAGTAAAGACATGGAAGATCTATACGGCTGAGATACCATTGCATGATGTGGATGGGAATGTGAATTCCTACTTCTTTCATTGATATCTCGACTTATCCTACCCTATTCGACCAAGCTGCTCCGCTATTCAACCTCTTCATCGCACGCACATATGCATCTCAACCATACCACATCGTCACTTTCTCGCCACACATATACAAGCCCCCTCCAGCCGCTCCATCTATCCGTCCATCAACCATAATCATCATCAAAATCATCTTTCCATACCCGCCTAATCACCCAACCAACCAACCATCTATTCCAAGCCCCCTCGCCCCTCAAAAGCATATTCCCAGACAACGCCCATTTTAACACCCATCCCACCACTCCCACATCAACATTAAACAATAAACAAAAAAACAACATATCACCCAAACATAGATCAGTCGTGCAGGTATCCTCGAGTGTGACCAGAAATAAAACAAAACATTCCCATCCATGCCAACGCCCATATGCCGTGTCTCCATAGTAGAGGAAACCACTCTCGCCCCCCATAAACACAAAAACGTCCCGCGAATGCCGAGCCTAATGTGTATGACACGATGTCCTTCGTATGATGTACAATGTACAAAACCCGGTCGGCTCAACCTCGTTCGGCATGCCATACGCTACATCCCTCGTGTTCATCGTTTCGTAATCAGAATCAGAGTCGATAAATTGCTTCATATCTCAGGCGGCGCTGTTCTCGGGACGCTTTCTTCATTACTGCCCGTCCGTCGATGAGTTCGTGAGATATCCGGGACCGGTGGACTAGCACTTTTACTGCGTCGCCAGATCATGAGTTTATCCATGCGGAATCTGCTTGGCTTCTTTCGGAGACTCTTGACCTTTTCCATCATTGCTCCGCCTTTTGATTCTTCGGTTGCTGTGGTTTGCGTTTCGTTACTGACGGAGGAACTACCGCCTGCTCGGAATCCCGATGGACTTTGCGTGGGTGTCTGGCTCAATGTATTCTTTTCAGCCGATTCCTGACTTGTAATGCTTGTGCCTTGCGTACTAGGTGAAAGAGGCATCTTGCTTGTTGTAGCACTCGTGGCTTGACTGGCCCAATCGCCTGCAGCTGAACTACCTGCTTCCGTACCATCACTACTCCGCTGCTTTTCAGATGACTCCTGCTTCTCGGGTGATCTCGGCTTCTCTGATACTTGTCGCCTCTCAGGACAAGGAAGAGGTGGATCGACAACAACGGCATCCGTAACTAAAGAGGGCATCACCGACAGCCCGTTAACATGATGGCCATTGGGCAGTGCATTCGCATCTAGGCTGGGATGGTCCAATAGTCCAGGAGCACTAGCAGTGGCAAAGCTGAGCTGAAGTTGAGAAGGTTGAGACGTGCTATCCTGTATGCCAGTATCTACACCAAGGCTATCGCTCCGAGTAATATCTGGATCCGACTGATGATGAGGTATCTCTGACTCTGGCGACTCGGAAAGTGCTCCGTGCCTTGGCGTAAAATTTCTGGACAAACCCCTTGTGAAATCCGCATCGGAGGGTAATAGTGTAGCACTACTTTGCCTCTGACGATGTGTATCAGAAGGTGCTGCCATGCTCAGGTGACGCGGGGAGAACATGCCATCGTTCATTGGAGCATCTCCACTGTCTGCTCGTAATCTTGCTTGCTCATCTGCAATCTTTTTGGACCACACTTCTTGATTGCAATGCAACTCTTCCACACAAAATGCCATTCCTGGCATGACATCAGTGACTCCTTGAAATAAGGGGATTGCAAACATGTTCATGAATCCAATTTGCGATTTTCCAAGCTCGATGGTTTCACGGACGGGTGCGGCAAATAAAGCAGATGGGATACCCAGATCCTTTTCCATGGTTGCTTGTCGAGAGAACTCGTCTGTTAATATCATCGTCCACTGAGCTGCGACATCATACTTGCGTGCCTATTTTCGTTAGCATAATTCCATCCCTGAAAAAAGATACATACCACATTGCTAATATCCGCACACTTGATCAGCAATGAGCATGCAAGTGTACGTTGTTCATCTAGTAATCTCGCATTCCAACCATCGGTACCGCCATTTTCGTGAAGTTTCTCTTGCATCCATCCCATCTTCTTCATGTAATCAAAGTGAAGTCCCATGTCTGTGGCCAGGATGGAGCTAATCATCAACTGCCGCATTTCGACACTTTGAAACACCACTGGCCAATGACGTCGAAGAATCTGCGAATACGCAGCGCAATGAAATGACTCGAGGACAGATCGATCGTTGTAAAGCTGTGCCAGCGGAGCATTCAACGTTACCAGGAACGCATTGTTGACTCCTGGATGTCCTACGTCGTGTCCGATAGCAGTGATCAACAGAGTCAGCGCATCGAAAGGCCGTATCAAGGCGGCAATTGGGGAAGGTTCCTTTCGAGTTTCATTTGCCGTGGGAGGATAAGATGGTAATCGACCCAGCTGAACGAGAAAGTGAAAGCAAGCTTGTAAGACATCAATAACATGGCGGAAATTGTGATACGGAACAAAGGCATTGTACGCCGAGCGGCTGGCTACCAAAAAACCTGTGAGAGATTCTGCACGGGAGTCAGCATATGCATCACACATTATCCGAAACATGTCCATAAAGAGCGCTTCTCACCTGTCGATATCCGCCACCTCTCCAATTCCGGCATTTCCAGTGCATGTTGTAGCATTAGTAGAGCTGCGTGAAGAAGCTCGTCATCTGTGAAATCGTGCGCGGAAAAGGACCAGGAACCAATAGCAGAAGCAATCTTCTCACGTCGATCCAGCGCGACGGCTATTCTGTTGTAGCTAAACGGTTCATCGTCACCTCCAAGTTTGCATATCCCATCCATTAATCCAGATACCATAGCTTCGCGTAGATAAGCGTACGGCTTTTGGTCATCTACTCCAACCCATGATCGTTTCCTCCCTCTCTTCAATTCTAATAACGCCCTCTGATCCTTGGACGCATCTTTATGTGCTCGATACGCATGCACGGCAAGACTAGGTAATCTATCCTGCAATAACGGACTCGTTAAAACGTCCACCGCCCCGAGATCAAGATACTTCATGGTTCGCACTTGATCTAATGGTGTGACCAAGGTAGCTTGTTTCTTCGGCGTCGCAAAAGGGTCGAAATCAAGATATCCACCAGTTCTCGAATCTGTGCGTCCGCGGCCCGGCGAGCTAGTAGTTTCTGGTATCGTTACGAGAGCCACCGGGACGATGAGTTTCGAGAGACTTTGGTATTGAATTTCCGACACTATCCACTGTAATAAACCTAGTCCATACGATTCGTCGTCCGTTTCTACGGCGTCCTCGAGGATCCCGTCTGTTGGCTGTTTCGAACTTGGTGATGGCGTCCGAACTTCTCTTGACGGTCTCTTGGTTGCCAACTGGTCTTCATAAGGAATGTCTATCAGCACAAGGGTCGGTATTAAATCGACCATGGATGAGTGGTTCAGTTCGGACAACTTTGCTACGCAGGAACTTCCCGTCGTACATACATGCACTATCCATCGTTAGCAGATATCAAAAACGGATTGCGGGAGTGCTAACCTTCACTGAACATGCCAAGTAGCGTTTTTACGTTCCCGTCCACTGGACTTGTCGACCCCTGATTTGAAGACTCCACCACATCAGAGTCTTGTATATTTATCGCTGGATGTGACGAAATGATCTCATCCCTCTTCACCAGCCTTCCCTCCACCGCTGTGCGATCCACGTACACCACATTGCACGCAGCATACTCCATGATCGCTTCGCGCACCACGGCGCAGAACTAATCGTGCCCTCTCGGCGCGCAATAATTATCTCAGCCAATTCTTTGGTCGGGTGTAGATGGCAGAATGCGCTGCCCGTCCTTGTGATTCGAATATCGACTCGACCGGTTACACTAACAAGGCTCGAGCGCAATAGCTTCAGACGAGTCAGAATGCGCTCACCAAGATCATTCGATGTGTCGGGTGCGGATTCGAGGAATGTGGTTGTGCAGCGCGGTCGCAGGACGAGGTTTGAGGATGTGTCAGGGGGTTCGAGAATTTGCGGATTCGAGGATTCGAGGAAGGTCGAGTTATATGCGAGGGAGGTGTTTCTAGATTTCGTTCGAGTCGGTCGCAGAATCCGAGTGGTTCTGTATTTGCATCAATGAGCAAAGTTCGTAATGTTGAAACCGACAAAGGATTGCGGTAGTATCTGCTGCCAATGACGGTCCTACGACGAGGTAATGGTACAGGCGGGTTTCGGAAGGGTCACTCTAGTCTTCCCTGGTTCGAGGTGGGTTCTGCCACACATCAATTGCGATCTCGTACGACGGTCGCTTTCGTTGGTGTTTTGGTTGTGGTTACATGGAACTCGAGTCGCAGTCGCAAAGGATTCAATGTGCGCACCAACCCTCAGCACCCGCAATCCAGCCTAGGTCGCCGGCCCGGAATGCAAAATCTGCGCAACGAACAGGAGGAGTATCAAGATCAAGCGGACATTACTGCGTGAGGAGAGGGCGCTGGAGTGAGCTCGTGAGGGTAATGACTCGGGAGGACCGATCGATAGGGGGAGATGGAGGGTAATTGAGGCTATTGATGTTCTCGGGAGGTATGCCGTCGAGGTGAGTCTGCTCGATGAGAGGAGGGACAATGGAGAAACCGACTGGTGTTGTTGCTGTCTCCTGGCCGAGTCCAATGGAGTTGAGGTGTCGTTTCGTGAGGAGTTGAGGTGCGAGTGCAGTAGTGGAGGCCTGAGTTCGGACGCAAGTGAGCCAAGGCCAGCTCGCAGGCCGTGAAATGGAAGGTGAGCGGGAGGGGATTTACGACAATGCTAGCGTCTGCAGGTGTTATTGCATGTGGTTGGCTGGAGGAGAGAGGGATACTGTAATTTGTGGATCAGGGGTATTTTCTTGATTGTTATCATTGGCTATCAATACATAATCGGTAAAGTCATTGTCTTTTAATTCTGGCATTCCTTGTTATTTATCCAGTCTCCTTCCCTTCTGGAGGATGTCCGTATCCATCGGAGTAAACGAATAAGAGAAGAGCGGGTTCTGACCACTCTATCTGCAATCCACCGCTCTCTCCACTATCCGCGTCAGCCAATAACGACCACTTTCTGATAGATTATCTTCCCCTCGCTTCCGGTTCTAGATTCCTTCTGGAAGGTTTGGCTGTCTTCTATCGCGTCTTTGGAAGCCGAAGAAGGAAATAGCGAAACATGTGTGGGCACGCGAGAGGGCCGCTGCCGCTTCAGATTAAGTGAAGCTGGAAGCCGGTTTGTTGGCTGACAAGCACAGACGGATGCGACCAACACCACAACCCCTTGCATTAATGTTGTGCTGATATGAACGCCATTATGTATCTGGGGAAAAGATGTGCGAAGATCTTCTGTATATCAACGCCATGTGAAATGGCAAAAGTCAGCATACGATAAGAGAAGTTAGAGAACATCGCTTCAGATCGACAACCATGTGTTCTGTGGTTGAATTGAGAATGCCAAAATCCGAGGTGGCGTTGTTTCGTACCACCAGCCGTCCTCAACAAGTGACTCGAACGGAGTTGCCGGTGAGTGGATACAAATCATCCCTTCACTTTGTAGACGAGACAGCGAAACAAACGGCTTACAGCTCAGCTTTTCAACATCATTTCAACATTATTTCGTGTTATCCGGACCCCTAACTTTCTGGGAAATTCCCAGTCTTGGCAGAGACATGGACGTAATAATCATCCCGTCCATGTAGATCTCAAGACGACAGAAGTAACAAATGTCGCGACCAGACACTTCCACTCTGTGCTATATATAAGTAATCGTCACAAAGAATAGGTACCTCAGATAGGTGTGGATCTCCAATATTGATCTTATACTTCAGCTACTTATAAAGCCATGTCTTCACACAATTCTGCAATCAGCATCACACCGACATTTCAACCATCACTGAGCATCAGATAATCTTAAGTGCCTTGGGTGTGTCCCTCGCTTCCATCATTCTCACCAAAACTCACTCTCGCAAGCCAAGAACCTCATCACCACATCCACAACAAGCGACTCACCTCGCATCTCAGATCTCAGATCTTATTAACCAATACCCATCTCACCACGAATGACTTGCTTTTCCGGAATATTTCACACGCATCCGAACCAGGAAAACAAACCTAGAATGGACACTATAGAGTTGTTTTTCAATACCCGACCTTCCGCATTCAGCACGCAAACCAAGATGATATCGAGATCTCGCGTACCAATGGGAAAGCTTAAATCCACATCGGATCTGAAGAAGGCCACATGATGGAGGTGCATAGAGTTCGAATGAATTGCTTCATATGGATCTCGTTATGTTGACGAGGGAAATGTTTTTTATTAAGTTGATATAGCGATCGAGATCATTCTCAACATCGGGTGTTCTTAAGGTACGTGCAATTCGTATTTGCTCAAGAAAATCCGTATGCCATTTTACATTTTCTCGTATCCCTGAGCCATGAACTTAAGATTGAGTTCCTTCGTCACGGTATAAGTAAAAGTACACCAGTGATGTTTAGCAAATTACATACTCCAATCTTCTTCAGGATCCACGAACGATTTCTTCCAACAGCTTACCTAGCATCGTATTTAATCCCACTTATAGACATCTCACCTAGTACTAGATAAGGTGAGTCACATTTCATGTTTAATCATCAAGTGAGTCTTCACACTTTTTTTCATGCCACGATGGAATATACCAAATCACTCTATATCTTCATACATTCAGAATTAGCCTTCGTAAATTACTCACTCGAACCTACCAAAATACCTACATGCTCTTCAAAAACCTATACTCTACTCGCAAGCATGTCCACTCCCTCCCCAACCTCCACAGCCGACCTAGCCCTCCACTTCCTCGAAACCCGCTCCCCCTCACATCCCACATCATCTTCCGCATCCCTCCTCTCCCAAATCTCGCACCGCCAAAAAATAATCTCCTACTTCTCCATCCCCGCCGGCTCCCGCGTCCTCGAAATCGGCTGCGGCCAAGGCGACACGACCATCGTGCTCGCCGACACCGTCGGTCCCAGCGGTCACATCGACGCACTCGACCCCGGATCACCAGATTACGGTTCCTTCCCCCTCATACCCAACCCAACATCGACTAAGAAATTAAAACAGGCTCGCCCTTCACCCTCTCCCAAGCACAATCACACATCCTTTCCTCCCCCCTCGGCCCACGCATAACCTTCCACAACACCTCCCCCCTCGCCTATCTAACCAGCTACACCGGCCCCCCCTACGATTTCATCATCTTCGTACACAGCACATACTACTTCGCCACTCCCTCCGTCCTGCCCTCCATCCTCGCCATTCCTCTCCTAGGCACGCCCAGAATCTGCATCGCGGAATGGAGTCTGCGCGCGCGGACACCGGTCAGCTATCCGCACGTGCTCGTCGTCCTGGTGATGGCGATGCTCGAGAATATGCGTCGTGGTGACGGGAGCGGGAATGTAAGGACTGTGATGGCGCCTGCGCGACTGCGCGAGGTGGTGGGGGAACGGTATGGGGTGGTAAGGGAGGAGTATCTGGGAAGTGGTGAGGGGATGAGGGATGGCGTGTGGGAGGTTGGATATATTCTTCGTCGGGAGAGGGAGGGACGGGTGTTTGAGGGGGTTGAGGCGGGGGAGGGGATGAGAGGGGTTGTTGGGGCGATGGTTGGGGCGTTGGGGGAGGCTGTTGAGGGTCTAGGCGGGGTGGAGGGAGTTGAGTGTATGGATGTTTGGGTTGGGGTGTTTTCGTGATGGTTTGTTCGGAGTATGTTTTTATATGTGGAGAGAGTTGTCGATGAGAGAGCCTCGGTCAGTGAGATGAAATTATTAGCATCAAAAAGTGAGGGAGACATCTTGTATACAATGTATTGAGTGATTCAACGATTATCTTAAAATCAACCTTAAATCGATAATAAATAAATCAAATCGATAGTGCTTGGAATTACTTTATTTCAAAATCAAATTCATCTATAATTATATTACTTATACATCTATAGTACTACTATGTCTAACAATAAATAACAAATAAGGAACTCTAGGTTATGTTCTCGTGTAAGTAAATACGGGCAACATTCGCTAGATGTTTTGCTATACATCTAAATTATATACTACTTTTTATACAAAAATGTCAAAGTCTTAAAGAGCTCCGGTAGTATTTCTAATTTTCTATGCTACATTTTTCAAAATTTTTAAACATAACCTCGAAGATGTGTTATCCGGAAAGCTTAGATTGTTTTTCCATATTTATAGACTTGAGATAAATCTTTGTTTCCGGAGACCGCGCACAACTGTCTAGTCTTCAGTACAATTCGTATGTTTTAAGTAGAGTACATGGCTTTCGATATGACCAAAAACCTCCCTTCCGGGCTACTGATAGATGATATTCCCACTATTTTCGCACCATTTGGTGTTCCTCCTCTTTCACGCGCTAATATACAATTTCCTCAACAGGAAATCGCCTGCCTCTTTCCCGCGGCGTGCTAAGTTGGCAAGCTGTCCGATCGTACGGACCAGTGTGTGAGTTGGTGACAGCTTAAGTCCACATCTGGGATAAAATTCTGAGCATCATCGACCATCTCGCTCTCCTCTCATTTCACTACCATGAGCTTTATCAGCCTTTTTACCATGTCATCAATACCAAAGCCCTCCACAGAGCCTCAAGTCACCCTCCCCCCACTCGTTCCCGACGTCTCAAAAAACTTCCGGAACTGAAAGGTATCATCAACCTCCTCACTCCCCTCACTCATCCGCGTAAAACTATCATCCTCCATCAACACCTCAATCGTAACATTTCCACCTTTCTCATTCACAATCGGCGGCGACTCCCCGTAGATATCCACTCCCTTCGCCTCGGCGTCTTGCCAAGGAACAGCTTCATCATCGCCAGCTAAGGAAGCTAGTAGACAATCCTGAGAATCACTGAACAGCATCGCGGGACTTGCACAGTCCGAATTCAGCCATCTAGCGATGGTTTTACCAATGACCTTTCCACCCGGCATTTGTTCTCCAAAATTGATGATTTGGGGAGTTTCGAAAGATGGATCCCAGAGATGAACAATCCCGCGACTTTCTTCACATCTTATCATAAGTAATTCGTCAATCTGAGGATGCCATGTGATCTTCGCAATCGGAGAATGGAATATCATGACCGTGCGAAGATGTTTGGTGTGGATGTCCCATAGCCAGAGGGTTGTGGGGAGGTCCTCAATGCGTGTTGCGAGGATGGTGCCGGAGTGGTCAAATGACATCATGTTGACGCCAGTTTTGGAGTCGGTGCTGTTTATTGGGGTTGGTGATGAAGTTGGTGGGTGGAGTGGTTGAGTTACTGGTGTGAATTCGCGGGTGAAACCGCTGGGTGAGGGTGTTATTTGTTCTTGCCAGATCTGGATTGTTAGTTGAGGTTCCATGAAGGTGGTATGTGGCTTACCTGGAGTGTTTCGTTTGGGGAAACGCCAGAAGTGTGTTGGATATTCAAAGTTTCTGTGAATGATGGCGTCGATAGGATCGTCACTCGTTTACTATGATCCCCAATGGCAGCATACGTACCAGTTCGATTCCAGTCAAACAGCTTGATACCTGCTCCAAGATCCAGATCCATATCTTCATGAGAAGTTGGATGTGGCCCTGTCCATGTTTGAAAAAGATGTCCATCCGCGGTGTACACGAATATCTTATGGCCTTGCGACGCCGATTCTAGAATTGCCAACCATTTCCCATCCATACTCCACGATATGGCTTGTGCATCGATGGATTCCGGATGCCATGATCGTACGACTTCATAATTATCTCTCGCATGGATGCTGATTATATCCTTCCCTCCTCCGCGCGTCAACAATGCTAGATTCTTCGTCTGTGGTCGATATTTGAATCCCTTCGCAGCAGAAACTGATTGGTAGAATTTAGGAGATGGAATCTCAACAGTCTTCGAGGTAGACAAATTTACTATCGAGACTTTCAACCCGAAATCAGAGTATACACATATTTCATCCTCTGTCGCGCCGAAAGATACACATGTAATCTTTGTTGTTCCCGAGGTTGGGTTTGCGATGCTGGCGGAGAATTGGAGGTTGATAGTTGAGTAGACTCGTATAGTTTCTGTACTCACTATAAGAACCCGAGTCGAGTCTTCGGACCATAGGAACCATGATATTGTGGTTGCTAGGTCTGGTGGTATTGTAATGGTGCGTACGATTTCGAGTGATCGCGTGGATCGAATGACAAGTTTGGTAGGTAGAATGATCGCGAGGAATGCGCCATCTGGACTGGGTAGACACTGGGTCGAAGCTGTTTTGCAAGAAAACGTCAGTGATATTTTCTTTTTTGTATGAAACGAAACTCACCCTTCAAAGTCCTTGAGTACCTCATGATTATCTCGGATTTGAATGTCTCTTCATCTCTGGTCGTTGTCAATATTTACATGTTACCCAACTCAGCTCACCGCCCCATATTCTGCCCGCCCTGGCCCCTCCCGGACTTCGCCCGGTATCTTCCCCCACTCTAACAGGTCATGGCCGACACGGATATGTCATGGAGAATTGTACATCTGCACCATGCTTATTTCTTATTTTCGCCGAAGTCCGTAAATGTGTACAGTCACTAGTTTGCTAATCATGTATCGACTTCCTTTTTCTATATGATATCGCTTGATCCTTTTCAAATTGGTCTTTCAGGACTCCTTCACTATGGCGTCTTTATTAAGATCTGGGCAGAGGCATTTGTTGCTCACGAGTAGACGGTCTCGAGGATGGCGGGGTATTGCTTCTGTGGCAGTACCAGCTCCAGCTGTCACCGAATATCCTCAACATAGCTTCCCAGAACAGGCAATCCGAAATCGAAGAGATGCGATTAAGGACGCCAAACCTTTCTCCTCTTTCCTTACCGATACGTACGATCGACAGCACAACTACCTCCGAATATCCTTGACAGAGAAATGCAACCTTCGATGTTTATATTGTATGCCGGAAGAAGGTGTACCTCAATCCCCACCCCGAGAACTCCTCACTACTCCCGAGATATACCTTCTGTCGTCCGTCTTCGTTCGAGAAGGTGTAACAAAAATACGCTTGACTGGTGGCGAGCCGACTATACGAAAGGATATTCTTCCTCTCATGCATCAGATTGGATCTCTGCGGACACATGGTTTGAAAGAGCTATGCATCACAACAAATGGCATTTCATTGCATCGAAAACTGGATAGCATGGCGGAGGCAGGATTGACGGGTGTAAATTTGAGCCTGGATACTCTGGACCCATGGCAGTTCCAGATCATGACGAGAAGAAAAGGATTCGAAGCGGTTATGAAAAGCATCAACCGGATCTTGGAGATGAACAAGCTTGGTGCTGGCATTAAGCTGAAAATCAATTGTGTTGTTATGCGAGGGATGAACGAGCGAGAGATACTGCCATTTGTCGAGCTGGGACGGGAACAAGATCTGGAAGTGCGATTTATTGAATATATGCCATTTGATGGGAACAAATGGAGTAAGGGTAAAATGCTGGGATACAAGGAAATGCTGGATATGATCAGAGTCAAATATCCATCCTTGCGAAAGGTACAGGATCATAAGAACGATACCAGTAAGACCTACGAAATTCCTGGCTTTGTTGGGAGAATGGGTTTCATCACGAGCATGACGCACAATTTCTGTGGCTCTTGCAATAGGTTGCGTATCACCAACGACGGGAATTTGAAAGTCTGCTTGTTTGGCAACGCCGAGGTTTCACTTCGAGATATCATTCGAAAGACCAATGGCGGTGATCCCATCGACGAGCAAGCTTACGAAGCTATGAAACAGATTGAGATGGACCGACAGCAAGGTTTGGTGTCTTCAAACGTGCCCCTCGGTCGCTACGAGCATGAGAAGGAATTGCTCGATGTCATTGGGCTGGCAGTGAGTCGGAAAAAGGAAAAGCATGCAGGAATGGGAGAGCTTGAGAATATGAAAAACAGGCCAATGATTTTAATAGGTGGGTAGGTCTTCTTATCTTTGTTTGACGAGCATATTGGAAAGATTGCATTGAGGGCGTTTTGTCATATACCCAGATGTATGTACCCATTATTTAGTAATACGACATCATGTAAGAGTTTAGATGCCGTCCATAGTATTGTGATTCTTACGCTAATTGAGGCGTAGATAATCCATCAAGCAGATCATACCGGAGTTCTCTGATTCAACGACGGAGTCACGGTTCTCATCACCCATGGAATAAGGTGCCAATCTATCTTCTCCCATCTGTAAATACGATGTCTGGAATTCGATTATATGCGACACAGTCTTCTTCGCCCGGAAGTAATTCATCTCAGTCAGAGAAAGAAAAGGCGACGAGTTATGCATCGGACAGCAAGCAGGCTAGCCATCGCCATGGAAGTCCTCTTGAGGGTGCAGGAGTGGACAATCCCAGCAGCAAAGAGGCTGAGAAGACAATTCTCGGTGCTGAAATGAAGAGTACAGCTTCGCCGGCGACTGGCTCGGTTCTCACACACCTCAATACTTCTGGAAACGCACACATGGTATCTATCACTTCGAAAGCCCCCACAAGTCGAAAAGCAATTGCCGTTTGCTCCATCCACTTCTCGAATCCGACTGCTCTTCCACTTATTCGCTCCAACTCCATGAAGAAGGGAGACGTTTTGTCTGTTGCACGAATAGCTGGCATTATGGCGGCAAAGAAAACGAGTGACCTGATACCTTTATGCCACCCAATCGCCATCACTCATGTATCTATCGACTTAGAAGTTAAGGGCGGGGATCGAGATCATATGGCTTCTAAACCCGAACGTGTGAGCACTCCATGGCAAGGAACCGGGCAAGGCGATGCGTATCCTTGGCATAATCACAAACAAGCCAAAGACGATGTGAAACAGGAAGATTTTGGCAGAGTTAATATAACTGCTACTGTCACTTGTGATGGGAAAACCGGAGTGGAAATGGAGGCCTTGACGGCTGCTAGTACAGCTTCTTTGACGGTGTATGATATGTGTAAAGCAGTTGATAAAGGAATGTGGATTATGGATTTGAGGGTTGTGAGGAAGGAGGGCGGAAAGAGTGGGACGTGGGTTGAGAGTGAGAATGTGTCTTGATGTCACGCAAAAGAACTTCATCTATCCATCGTATCTCCCAAGGCTTGGATGGTTAGCCCTAAGATCTCGGGAAGATCGTATTCCGGGGGAGATATTCGGATTAGCTTTTGGAAGGAGCGATTGCTCAGTACACCAAATTCCTGCCTCCATCAAAAATTGAGGTTGCCTGTACCACCACACGACATACCTAAACACATTATCATGCCCGCCACAAGAGGGCATTTTCTATCATTAAAGTCCTCAGATTGCTCTCCCCTGTCGAGGCATCAACAAACGTCTTCGTCCCTCTTGCAGCTTCCACGAAACACACCTCCTCACTCTCCTCGTTCATACCTTTAAGAAATTGGCAACGAATTAGCCTAGATACCCTTATAAAAACCTAAGAATGGTCAAACTTCAGAAACCTATTCGCCTGAACGATCCATCAGCTGCCTCCTGTCCCAGACATAGAGGTCCTCGACACCGACTCGTATTACCGGATCCGCCAGCACCTCCGCGACTATACACTCAGACTCACGCACTCTTACTTCACTGGGCGGCCGACGACATAGGCGTCCTACCCCAATTATCTTTGCTTTCGCAAGTCCTAAGCTCGGTCTACCACTTCACTTCGATCCTCACATGCGCGATTCCATCCGACTATCCACAAGATTTTGTGCAAGGCTGTCTACAAGGTTTTATTGATAGATGGAGTGGCGAGAGTAATTTGCTTGTGGTGTATTACAGTGGACATGGAGAAATTGACAAAGGTGGTGGGTTGAGGTGGTGCGCTTTCAAGTATGTCGTCCTTAACCGATTCGGATATATAGATACTAACAAACTCAAGGCAGCCTCCAGGATCGAAGATTCAAGTCCCAGAGCTATCATGGACGCGCCTGCAAAAGCTTCTCGAGTCCACGCTATCAGATGCATTACTCGTCCTCGATTCTTGCGCTTCTGCCGGTTCGGTTTCATTCGCACCAGTATCGAATATTCTAACAGATTCACTTTCGAGAAGCACCACCCGACACAGATCTCGTTCGAACAGCGCGGGTACTCAAGCCACGACTGAAATTCTCGCCGCTTGTGGATTCGAAACGACCGCTCCTGGACTCGGTCCGGACTCGTTCTTCAACCTACTTGTCACAGAACTCTGTTCCCCATCTTTGATCCGTCGAGAATTCAGTATCGCAGAGTTACATCGCCGCGTCTTGAGCAAGGCAGTGTTGAAGGGTGGCGAGGCACGCAGTCCCGTCTATGTTCGCGTACGCGGTGAAGTTGGAGGGGGTAGTCTCGTCCTTGGAAATCGTCGACTCAGTGATCGGCGACTAGGTGTCTGTATCAAGGAGAGCAAGAGAATCTTACTTGAGCTCGACACGAGGTTCCAGCAGAGAGAAAAGGATTTGAACATTTGTGCGGATGGAAAGGAATGTGCATTGGAGGATCCTTGTGATGGGTTGGATGAGGAGTGTCCGCAGTTGGTGCAAGTTGAACAGAGGACTAGTAAGAATGTTGCTTTTGATAAGGTTGTTGTGCAGGAGCTTAGTGGAAAGGAGGTTGTGCTTGATATGGAGGGACGGGAGATTCGGTAGATGTGGTGTTGGTTGACAGTAGTATTGGATACCTAGGATTAGTATGAATAAGATATTTTTATGTGGGTAATTTGTGGACTTTCTTGACTACTTTGATGTTGTCGGTAGCCTTGTGGATAGATGGTGATTGAGTACCTAATTGGGACTAGATAATTTAGGTGTGGTTTTAATAGTACATTATTCGGCGTAGGCTCTCTCCTTACCGTCGCAAACTATTTCGATACGCTTATAGCCTCACCGAGCTTTGGTACTAAAGCTCTTAATAGAGCTAAATTTGTTACAGGATATAGTAACAAATCGGCATTAATATCGTTGCCAAATTTAGTACAAAAACGAAAGACTCTATTAGTTGTTAGCTTTATTATTTGATGGATTGCTTAACCGTTATTATACTATATACTTGTATTAAATTACTTTAGTAATTCTTTAGTAATATATAAAAGTTTAGATAGTTGTTAATTTAGGTAGCGGTAGTACTAAAATACGTACGAGACAATACTAAATAGTCTTGGCAGGAGGTTAAGATACGATGTTGCGTATTGCATGTCAGCCCTGTTTAGAAAAATCACTTCTACTCTGTAGATATCAAAAGCATTTGATACATCGGAAATACGTCGAACTATAAAACTTCATGGAAAGAATAGATCGATTCTAACACCCCCATTTGGATATCTAACTCATATCTTACAAAACCCTATCATACACCCCTCCCACCCTCACAATTCAATAATCATCATCATCCTCCTCATCCTCATCATCATGACTCTCCCCACCCCTCGCAAGCAACTCCTCCCTCCTCCTCTCCTCCTCCCTCTCCTTAACCGCCGCCCTCTTCGCCTCCTTCGCCACCCTCTTCGCAACCCGCTCCGCCTCCGCCTTCTTCTCCGCTCTCTTCTCCTTCTCCATCCTCAGACTATCCATCTCCTGTTTCTTCACCTTGAACTCGTCGTCGGAGTCTTCACTCGGGCTGTCACTGTCTTCGCTGCCATCGCTCGTGCTCCCTGTTGCGATGGGTTTCTTAGAGCGGGTCTTGTCTTGATAGCTAGGGTATTTGCGGCCTGTGTCTGTGGGCGTGCCTTTATCGACGTGGTTGTCTTTGCGGTTTAGTTTCGCGAGCGCGTTTTTCGAGTCCGTGTCGCGCACTGATTGGAGGTAATTATCGAAACGAGCGCTCGCGACAGCGACTTGTCTGAAATGTCTAGCTTCGAGGAGCGGGCCAGAGACATCGTTTCGCAGCCGGCCTTTGCTTTCCATATAATCCCATTCTGCAAGTGCAATGGCGGTTTGAAACGCGTTCTTGATCTGGCGGCCGTTCCAATTCGTTTTGGTGGGTTCGTTGTCGGCCCAGTGGCCTTTGGCGAATTCGATGATGTCTTTGCGGGAGAAGATTATGGGACGACCGTTGGGACGGAGTTGGTCTTGGCGGGTGAGGCGGTTGAGATTCATTTTCCAGATTTCGAGGGAGGATTTGCGGGTTAGCGGTGGATAGTAGAGGGAGATGTGGACGCGGGATTTGATGGCTTCGTCGAATTGTCCGACGCGGTTTGTGGTTAGGATTAGGATGCCACTGTAGTACTCTAGAACTCGGAGGAAGACTTGCAAGTTAGCTTGTGGTCCATATAGATTTGGCTGCAGTAATTACCTGATACAAGACTGTTTTGTACGAAGTCTCCCTTCGTTCTCTCGCCAAGGAACACATCTGCTTCGTCAAGGAGTAGTACACATCCCCATTCTCTTGCTAGGTCAAAGTACGACTCGAGGTTGTCTTCAACTTCTTTTGCAGTCGCTCCGCCAATATCACCACAAGTAATAGGAAATAGCGGGCGGTTAGTGTTCGCGGCGACACACTCTGCAGTAGAGGTTTTCCCTAAGGAAATATGTTAGAAAGGTAAGGCAGCATGCACCAATCGTGACTTACCAACACCAGGGACACCATGCAACAAGATAATGAGACCCTTGCCCTTCCCTTTCACAATATCGATATCTCGGGAGGCCAAAGAGTCGTCTTTCTTAGTAGGTGCTGAGCGTGGTCCTCTAGCATGAGTCTTAACTAGCGCGCGGACAATCTGTTTGTGATCTTCCTCAAGAACGAGATCTGCGAATCCATCTGGGGCATCTTTGTTGATTTCCTTGACGTCTTGGCAAAGATCTATATCCAAAGGATCTAAAATGTGTCAATGCTGCATTTTTCTTACCAAAAAGGCACAACTTACACCATTTGCGACTCAACAGGAGATATCCATAGACACGATATGGCAATAACATATGTCTATCTCTGCCAAGTTTACCCTCATCCGCTGATACAGTATCCAAGTTAGTACTAGGAAGATTGATGAAAGCAGTTCGTTGGGACACATCAAATTCAGAGTCATCGTAAGAGTACAGAGTTTCGCAGTGACCGATAGAAGCACATCCCTGAACAGCTTCTTTCCACTCTCTGGAATCTGGTTTGGTTGGTTCTTCGATGATATCACCCCCGAAAAGAGGATGCTCGATTTCGTTTGGTGCTTTGCTGTTCTTGAAAGCCAATGCGAAATCGATCACGGCATCACCGTCGAGCTGCGAATAGGTTAGTATAATTTCTAGAGTGTTGACGCATAACTCACCTCCTCATGCCTAAAGTTTCCTTCCTTCACACTGAGACCTCTATATCTCACATGCGTCATCCGAACCAACCTCACAAACTTCTTGCCTCTAGTAGCCAAAGCCGTTTCCAACGCAGCTCGGTCAGACTCGGGCAGTAACTTGAGGGGAACATAATCCAGAGCTGTGATCGCACGTAATCCCTCGTACGGTGTGATATAAAATGTTTTAGGCGCAGCGCCATAGTTCTTCCCGTCGTAGTCGATGTTGTAGCAATCAATGAAGAAATTCGAAGCCGCCTTGGGCATGCTGATAATGACTGGTTTCCCCTCGTAATCCAGTCCTGGGTCACGATATCTTCGTCCACCACCCGCATGCAGGACACGGTATGCTTGCTCTTTAGGCTTTCGGGAAACAATGAAGTCTCCTGGCTTGAATAGATGCCAGAGGTAATCGAAAGCAATTTCTTTGAGTGTCCCCGCCTTGATTTGACGTCGGATTTCGGTAGTAATCGTGAGGTGCTTATCAAAGATGTACAAAATACACTTCATCCCATTAGCAATCTTCTGAGCTTCCTTCAAGCGCGTTTGATCCTCGGTGCTCCATTCCTCTTCAGTCTCCTTACTCTTGTCCTTGGCGTCAGAATCATCGGACTTATTCTCATCCTTGGCCTTGTCTTTCTTCTTGTCCTTTTCTTCTTTCTTCTTCTCTTTTGGTGACTCCAGTGTCTCAGTCTTGCCGTCCTTGTCCTTCTTCTCGACACCCTCAGCCGGTTCCTGTAGCTTTTTCTTTTCAACTACTTCCTTCTCCGCAACAAGCTTTTCATACAAAGCCTGTTTCTCGGCCATGCTTTCTTCAAACTGGTCGCGAAACGGTATCAGTGGCTTGAAAGGTGCGACGAGGATATTGACGTTTGGTGCGAACTTAGCACCACTAATCTTGCTAATCTCCCCCAAAAGTGTGGGGCACATGATTGTAATTCTGTCGGGGTCTAGGTTCTCCAAAGCGTCGGGCGGTTCCTTGCTATCTTTTGCTGGCTTTTCCTTTGTCACATCTGTCGTCTCCGCATCAAGTAAATTATGTGGGTTGATGGTAGCAGGTTTCATAGATACGATAAGTGTATGCGGGCTTTCAGTACTGGACCACAATGCCTTGACCTTGTCGTTCCACCAATCTTCACTTGACACATATTTGATCTGCTCGTCGAGCGAGAAGGGCTTTTCTGGCTTTACTTCTTCTTCTTCTTCGACTTTCTCTTCGGTTCCTCCTTCCCCGGGAAGTATCTCTGATTCTTCGACAGTTATGTAGCCACTATCCTTGAGCTTCTTTTCAAGACCTTCGAATCTTTTGAGCAGCCTAGCGTATTTCTCCTCGATTGTCGGCGTGTCTGACTTTTTTTCGCCATCAACACTCTCAGTTGATTTAGCGTCGACTTTTGACTTCTCCTCCTCTGTAACTTCAGGCTTTATATGTGGCGATTTGATGTCAGAGCCAGACGAGATGTTGGTAGTTGAGACGCTGATAGAGGCTTTTCGTGCAAATTGTGGGTGGTCGGCCTTGACAGAGGGAGCGCTGCCGTCCGTCGTATTTCCGTCATCTGAAGTAGTTGGTTTGACCTCGACTACTGGCTCCGACTTATGATCCAAGGTAACAGGAGGCTCAACATTGGAAGTCTTCACTTGCGACATCTTGATGTCCAAGCGAGAACAAAAAGAATGATAGCAGTTGGTTCAAAGAAATCGGATGCGGCCGATACTGAGGATATAAAAACAAAGCTAATACCTCTACACTCTATTGCTCGAAAGCCCTATGAATTATAATATCTAGTAAGTGAGGTGTTAGCTTCAGTCCGCCGTTGGGTTCGAACAAGCCCGGAGTCGGGTACAGCTCTTCTCCTGGCGTAAGATGAGGAGTAAAAATCTGTAAAAACGAGACTCACGGCTAGATCAGTAGTGAAGAGAAACAATCATAGAGGTCATGAACAACATTTGCGGGAAGCCCATTCTTTTTCTTGGTCGGGCTATACGTGCATATATGAGGCTCTGTCAGTGGACCTCGGATAGCCCAGCAGGTCAGCACTTGTCCCGCTTTTGGTACAAAAACAGCAGGTCCGAGGACTCGAACCTTGTTCATGCAACGATACTTTAAATCCTTAAAATCCATTCATGGACCTATGACCAATGATTGCCACCATAAAATCGTCTCACTAGAGCTGGAACCCGTGAGTGGAACGCTTGAGACCGGTGGAACGAGCCCATTTTCCTCTTTGGATTTAAGTGTTTCATGAGCTGCAGCACTGCCAAATAAAAAGTCGTTTCAACCACAGGGGTCTCAGCTGACTAAATTGGGGGCGGATTTTCTCCACGGCCCCCAGCCTTATCAATCACACTATTTTAAGGACACATTGAGGTGTACGAAGTAGTTGCCTGTTGTGCGGCAAAAGAATTCGAACAATAAGAATAATCATAATGTACTAAACTTCTTAAAAGAAAGGTAGGTTTCTTTCCTCATCTTCTGAGATGAATTAAAAATTGATGTACTTATAATAAGTTAAGGAGTGACCCTGCCGAAGGACGGGCGTGATTGTCGACTACGCCGTAATCTTGCAGTCACTTTCCGAGTAGCGAGCTTGTGCATGCAAGCAATGAAGCAGGAAGGAAGCTCCCCACATCGCATTCTCAAACTCTTCAGCCGCACCGCGGCTTGTCCGTAAGGGAGCCACATTTGAATAACCTAGCCAGATGAATCTGGAAATTTAACAGGTTGTATAAAAACTGCTTCTCAAGTATATCTATCTATCGAGCCGATATTGCAACCCTCACTCAGTTGTGAAGATGGCCAGTCCTTCGCAATCAAATGTGGGGGCTCCTGCTCCATTCCCCGCGATCAGCCTGTCTCCTCTATTGAAGACGAGAAAGCCGGCGATACACCTGCACGAAGTGGTAGAGTTATACATGCAGAGCCAGAAGAGTGGGCTGGATGGAACAATACACAGAGCGCTGAACACAAATGATCCACGAGTGAAGCTGGATCCAAATAGACACAAATGGAGACCTACAGAGACAGAAGAGGCAGACCTGTATGAATGCCCAGAAGTTATACTATCTCACATCTGACTCATTGTGTCTCAGGGAAGCGCTGTACAGCGACATAGAAGGAGACAAGAGAGAGTTCCTCAAGGCCATGGATCTATATGAATCTAACGCTGAGCCTAAATATAAATTACACATTAATATGAAAGACACACACAGCATGAATGATGTTCTGGAGTCTATTGACGAAGCAAGAAAGAAATATGATGAAAAAGAAGTTGGTGTATTCGGATCGATAAGAAAAGCGTTCAGAAGACTAGGAGATAAGGAAAATGTGTGCAACACCTGGTTGGGCTTGTTGCCTGGTGACTCTGAATATTTCTCTATTATTTGTGGAGGACTTAAGATGATATTTGGGGTACCAAACTCCAAATCAAATGATATGAGCATGCTAACATTTTCGCAGGCTGCAGGACATCTTCGGAAAATCAATGATGAAATCGTCAACGCCCTAGTTGAACTTCCCACCATACTAGGTAGGAATCGGCGGATGATTGTAGTTCACAAAGCATCAACAGAGCTCCGGAACCTAAGTTCCGCTCTCTATGTTGCAATACTACATGCAATGAGCCACATCCTCAGTTACTACCGAGAGAGGCTTTTTGTGAAGAGTCTGAAAGTTCTTGCGACCCAGACCTCTTTTCAAAGGGAGCTCCTAATAAAAATAAGTGCGATCAACCAGTGCAGTGACGCAATCGGCAAGGAAGCAGAATTGTGCGGCATGGAACTCACAAAACAGATACACAAAGAAGCTATATTGATTAGGAAGATTTCAGAGGGTGTTTACGAGAAAACAGGAGCCATTTCAGAGCAAACAGGAGAAATCTCCCAAAAGACAGATCACTTGACTGTATCCGTAGAAGACTTGCGTCTGCGGACTGAAAAGGCAGAGAAACGAGCTATAATGGCAGAGCAAAAATCAAAAGAATACCACGAAGAAACATGCCGAGCTCTAAATCTTCTCACAAGCTTGTTTATGAAGCAGCCAGAACTGGCTAAGCAAGCGGCTGAGAGGGGTATGTTATCCCCTCGTGCGGACTGGGAGGTTCTCTAACGTGAAGTAGATTCAAGTACGCCTTACAACACACCACATAAAATACCACAATCGGCGGTAACAGCAATGGATTCCAAAGCGGCAAGAAAACTTCTCCTAGCCCGCTTGAGTTATGGCAGAGAAACGCCCCGGGCAGACTTGAGGTCTAACCTGCGACATGCCTTGAGCCTCTCTATTGGAGACCAAGACAGAGCTGTTTATGTGATGCAGTCAACAGCACTGCAGCTGTGGCTCCAAGAAACGACATCTTCTGCACTTCTCGTGAATGGTGGCGCACATAGCTCAGGTCTCCGCTCACCCATGAGCTTTGTTTCTGCCAAATTGGCAAACTCTCTGCGTGAGGCTAGGAAACAAGGGCCTGCCAATATCGACTCTAACATCATTGATCTCCATTTCTTCTGCGGAGAGCATTCCAATTGGAGAGACGGCGAGGAGGACGATATGCCCGGGCCTGCAAGTGTAATAAACAGTCTTCTCGCGCAGTTACTGACCCAGTACAAGCATTTTGACGTGGCTTCCATTAAGCACTTGAAAAAGCTGGAATGGCACGACCTTAAAGCGATGGGGAACATTCTTGGGAAGCTTCTCACGCAGCTGCCCAGTAGAATGATGGTGTTTTGTATCATTGACGGCCTTTCGTTTTATGACGACGATGATATGGTTGAAGATCTCGAGAAGCTCGTGAAGAAGTTGATCAATTTGACGAGGCGAGGGTCTGATGAAAATTGTATGTTCAAGCTCTTGCTCACAGTCCCCACCAGGCTTCGTTTAGATGCAGTTGGCAGCTTAGACGAGGAGGGTGAAGTACTCGATGTACCAGAGATTATCGATCGAGGAGGCGGTTTCAATGATATGCAGTGGGACCTTGGAGCTGGACAGGACGTTGCAGAGCTGGCCGGGCTTGCGATTGATGTCGATTGAGCAGCGAGAACTGAACATTGGCGTGATTCAACATAGCTTGGAATGCACGTCGAATATAGTCAGTCGCGCCAAGATATGCGATCAATTATTTGATACCTGTATACAGATATTTTGTCTGTTCTTTCTAATCAAAGCGACCGTTTGAATCTGCATTTTCAGAACCACTCAGATGATCATAGGAAGCCCTGCAGTTGTCAGATTAAATTTGTACTTGCTAGTAATAATACAGCCAACCGCGTGGCTTTTTGATGAAGAGTTGAAAGCCTAACAATAAGTTTGTCTGAAATGTGCTTGACGCATTGCTCATTTGTTTGCTTGATGAAACTCAGAAGGTGATGAGCCGTTCGGCAACTCGTTATTCCGCCCCGGCTGTATAGAACCACAATGTTCGCGACGGGAAATACCATCTGCAGGGTCGTGTCCATATGGCCCAACAAAGATTGTCGTCACGAGTCCATCCTCTTCGCTGAAAGATCGTCACGTATACCACTGCCGTCAAGCAATTCGAACCGCAAATATGGTCGGCAAGAAATCCAAGGACAAGCTGTTGCGGGAAGAGGGTTAGAGAGCTTCATCTTCCAGCGAGAGTTTACGGCTGACCAAGTACAGGGCTTCAAAGGCAAGACAATGGCATGAAGCAGACGAGCTGGCCGGATATTCCAATGATAAATCAAAAGAATTACTACACGTATGTTTTTGTCCATAGCGTTTGGCGCAAGGATTCGGCGCATTGAGCTGTGATGCTGCGACAACTATGCCCTCTTCAAGATGCTAACTCTGCCAGCGAGTATATGAAGAGAGACGACCAAATCCTACCCATACGTTTACAAAATGAGGCGAATCGAGATCGTATGATACGGAACGCGAAGGATAAGGATAGAGCTCTCGCGCAACGAGGACCTGCAGATGTGCCAATACCCGCTCCTACAATGGGCGATGCGGACGACGAGGAAGGCGAGAACGATGGTATAGATCCTTCTAAGATCATTGTCATACATCCGGGTAGCCAGAATCTGCGAATTGGCTTTGCAAGTGACGCTTTACCAAAGACAGTCCCGATGACCATCGCGGTCAAATGCAGCACACCCGAATCAAAAGAGTTCAAACCACTACCCAAAAGGGACGAGGATGCTGCTCCGGAGGATCAATTCGGCGAAGAATTCTCGGCGAAGTTTGCGAAGATGTCGGCGGAGTTGAAGATTGACATGCGATTGAATAAGCGGCAGGTCCTCCCAAAATCGAAGGAGCTTGTGGTCAATTATAATAGACGAACCACACCGGATGTTATCTTACAGCATAATGACCCCTTACAAATTGAGTGGACGGACGTTAATACACTGGAGAAATCTGCTGCTGCTTGTTTCTCTGGACATGATGCGTGGAGGGTACCAGATGATTCGAAGCCTAGTTTCCGACTCTTCCACCCTATGCAGCTGGGACAGTTTCACGAGAAAGATTACACAAGTGAGGAGCACTTGATGTCAGATTTTGAGACAATCCTTGAGAGTGCCATTAGGAAGGAGCTTGGGCTGGAGAAGATGAGTGACTGGGAACAATACCACTGTGTGGTAGTTATACCGGATTTATACGACAAGAAATATGTCCAATTCTTGTTGAATTGGTGTTTGAATATAGTGGAGTTTAAGCAGGTTGCTTTTATCCAGGAAAGTTTGGCTGCTACATACGGCGCCGGATATTCAAGCGCATGTATTGTCGACGTTGGCGCACAAAAGACCTCGATCTGCTGCGTCGAAGACGGCATGTGTATTGAGGATTCGCGTATCAACTTGAAATATGGTGGATGGGATGTCACTCAAGCGTTTATCAAGATGATGCTACACGACCACTTCCCTTATGCAGATATAAATCTGATGCGGAGGCATGATTTCCTGCTTGCTGAGGAACTCAAAATCAATTTCTGTACGATGAACCAAGCTGAGATATCAGTCCAACTTTACAACTTCCATCTTCGGGCTCCAAACGAGGATACTCGAAAGTATCAATTCAAGACCTACGACGAGGTGATCCTCGCGCCGATGGGCTATTGTGATCCGGCAATCTTCGACCACGAGAATAAGCTCAAAGGGCGCCACTCGCTCATCAAAAGATCTTACAACGCCTACGATGTTGACATTCCAGACGACCCAACATCAGCTGCCCAGCTAGCAGTTTTGACATCAATCAAACCAAGTCTTGCGACAACCGCCACCGGCTTCCCAATGCCCAGCAATGGAACAATCAACCACGAGTTTTCAACTCCGTCCAAAGAAAAAGCCAACCCCTTCAACCACCTTTCCCGCCTCGACAGTGACGCGAATGGTAACTCCCGCGTAACATCCGCAGCCGCATCACCCGCTCCAGAAGGTGCGAACACTCCGGTCCCACCGGTTCCCTACGTCTTTGGTGCAAACGGCACCAACGGCGGCTCTCCAGGGCCATCAAGTTACCTCGCTAATGGATCGCACAATTCCGGCACGCCTATCCCTCCAGCTGGAATGTTCATCGACCAAAACCAACGAACACCCAAGGATCTAGCCGACGAACGTGATTCTGTCCTCCCGATCATTCCTCTCGATACCGCGATCGTGACCTCAATAGCTCACGCGGCAGCTCGTGGCGACGAGAAGAAGATCCGCGATTTCTTCGGCGGAATCATGGTGATAGGAGGTGGAGCCAAGACTCCTGGATTTGGGCCCTTCCTCGAGGAGAGGCTGAAGCTGAAGAGACCTGACTTAGCGGAGAAAATCCTCGTAGGAACGAGTCCCCGTGAAATGGATGGACAGGTGGTGGTCTGGAAAGGTGCGAGTGTTTTCGGAAGGATGAAAACGCATGAAAGTTGGATTTCTCCCCTCGAATTCGAGAGATTGGGGGTTAGGAGTTTGTATAATAAGACTTTGTGGAATTACTAAACTGCTCTACAAGGCTTTGGTGGATGGAATGAGAGGCTTGCTTTTAGCGAGGCGTTTGGGTGGGATTAGGGATATGGTATGATATGGAGTTTAAGTCAAAATCTGGAGAGATGGGATTTAGGGATTTTGCATGGATGGATGAATAAAATAGATATAGGATGTGTGCTTGATATAAATGGCAATCTTTGAAATGTGGGCTGGGTTTGAATATTTGGTAGTGTTGGTCTCGTGAGTTTCAATGAGTAGCACTTCTACTCGAGTATAGGATTGGATTGAGCCGTGTTCATTTGGCTTGAAGGGCAGCTGTACGGACAGCAAGCATACTCCTTCTTTAAAAGTATAGAGAAGTACAATCGCGTCCAAGACTTTTGGAAACAGTCAAGGTTGTACAGAAGGAGAGATACTTATTCTCCCCTCTCTTAAACCTTCACATGAGAACCAAGTGCCTTTCCTAGTATGCGACGGCTCGATATAATACAGCCGGATCGTAGGTGGCGGATGATAGTCCTCGACGGTTGACCTTTGTAAGGGAACCAAGTGTACAAGGGTTAATTAGTTACAATAGACAGAAAGCTGTCGCCTTCGGGCAAACAATGATAAGGACGTCCTCCATACCTTTTGCCTTTACTACCTTCCCCAGGAATGATCCGAGGCATGGTCACTCAAATAGTGTACGGCAGAGTGTGGGGTAAATAGAACCAGGCCGCATGGAGCAAAGGCTGAGGGTGCCGGCAGATGCACGATGTAAATCGAGCACAAGTCGAATTCAAATCCCGGGAGAATATAAATACACGTGATATCCGGCCAGTGAGATATTCACAATTCAAAAACGTAGGTTTGGTGGTCGAGAAATGCTAGGGAAGATGGAGAATAGTGAAAGTACCTTTAGATCAATTGGCCAATCACGACTCGGAAATTTCCGCTGACTGGTCGGAGTTTATCCACACCATCGGAGTCGCGGTTAGTGTCGATTTCTTTTCTTCCACTCATATCCCGAGGCGCAAATCGAGTGTCTGACTACATAATCCCAACACACCTCTCACGCTCACACAACCCAAAGGAGCCAGACGACCAGACGAAGCGTGTTATCAACTATTTCTCTCTCTTTGGTTACACAGGATACACCGTCGTATTTTGTCAGGAATTCTCTTTCACTTTCCCATCTTCACAACTCATCCGCACCACACTCACGTTAGAACAACAATCCAACCCACCGCCACCATGGACGCTGCTCTTCGTCAGTCGAAGGCATTGTGTCCTTTCTTGAAGAAGACCTCTCCTGCCACTCTTCGCTCCCTTTCCACCTCTTCTCCGGCTCGCCAGGCCTCTCCCGGCGGTGGCAGCATGTCCAATTTGCAGACCATTGCTCGTCGCTGCCCCGTCATGGGAAAGGCTCTCGCCGTGCAAACCGCCAAAACCGCAAATGTTGGACTGGGAGGCGTCGCTGCAATCGGTGCAATCCGGGCTTTCACAGGCAAGGCTAGCAAGAACAACTCTGGCAAGGCAGGATTGCACACCACTCGTCCTCGCGATGCTAAGATTGAGGATACCCTCTTTAATCGCGAAACTCGAGGTATGGTTACGACATCACCAAAATCTTTGTACCCCGCTAATTTCGAATAGTTCCCCTCCCTCAACATACCAAACCACCCGCCGCCCACCAACACAATGCACGTAAATTCGATTATGAAGGGTTTTACAATGCCGAGTTGGATAAGAAGCACAAGGACAAGTCTTACCGCTACTTTAACAACATCAATCGCCTGGTCAAAGAGTTCCCGCGTGCGCACATGTCCAGCAAGACCGAGAAGGTCACAGTCTGGTGCAGCAATGATTACCTCGGAATGGGAAGAAATCCACAGGTTTTGAAGGCAATGCACAACACTCTCGACGAATATGGAGCTGGAGCGGGAGGAACCCGAAATATATCCGGTCACAACCAACATGCCGTCAGTCTCGAAGCAACACTTGCCAAATTGCATGCAAAGGATGCTGCATTGGTATTTACCTCTTGCTATGTTGCGAACGATGCAACGCTCGCGACCCTGGGAAGCAAGCTGCCGGATTGTGTCATCCTTTCGGATAGCTTGAACCATGCGTCAATGATCCAGGGAATTCGCCACTCGGGAGCCAAGAAGGTAGTCTTCAAGCATAATGATTTAGCGGATCTCGAAGCAAAGCTTGCTGCACTTCCCGCAGAAGTGCCGAAGATTATCGCTTTCGAGTCTGTTTATTCCATGTGTGGTTCTATTGGTCCAATTGAGGGTATTTGTGATCTGGCTGACAAGTATGGCGCAATTACCTTTTTGGATGAAGTCCATGCCGTTGGCATGTATGGACCACATGGTGCTGGTGTAGCTGAACATCTCGATTATGAAGCTCATGTCAACGGTCGTCCTCGTGGGACCGTCATGGACCGAATTGATATCATCACTGGAACTCTCGGCAAGGCCTATGGTTGTGTTGGTGGTTATATTGCCGGCTCGGCCAAAATGGTTGATGCTATTCGTTCTCTCGCTCCTGGATTCATTTTCACTACTTCTCTTCCTCCGGCCACCATGAAAGGTGCAGAAACTGCCATCGAGTACCAAATGGAATACCAAGGCGATCGCCGGTTACAACAACTCCACACTCGTGCAGTCAAGGACTCACTTGATGAACTTGATATTCCTGTCATGCACAATCCTAGTCACATCATTCCTCTACTTGTCGGCAATGCTGAAAAAGCAAAGGCTGCATCTGATCTTCTCCTAGAGAAGCACGACATTTATGTTCAATCCATCAACTACCCTACCGTTCCGGTTGGCCAAGAACGTCTTCGTATTACCCCAACTCCAGGTCACACCCGCGAATTCCGCGAACATCTTGTCTCTGCTCTGGACTCAGTCTGGACCGAGTTAGGCCTCAAGCGCACCAGCGAATGGGCTAGCCAGGGAGGATTTATTGGTGTCGGTGAGCAAGGTGCCAAACAACCCGAACCACTCTGGACCGATCAACAACTCGGTGTCGACAAGGTCGTCAAGGAGATGAAAGCTGGTGGTCCAGTCGGCGTCATGGAAGCACTTCTCGAAAGAGAGCGTGAAGAGATGGCTAGGGCTGTTTCAGCTGCTGCTTAAACCACGTCTGGACATTCATCAGTCCATGACATGACGAAAGGCTCATCAGACCCGACACCACATTCTTTCGAGCGGATGATATAAGGATAGCGACTGCGTATTTGCAGCGACGAGTTTTTTGATGATGACGTTTATGAATCAGATTAAATGAAATATTTACCTGGGTCAGATATGACCGAACACCATTTATTTTGCTATATATTTTGAGTATTGTGAATGTTTTTGATTTGTGGTATTGATTTATCATACCAGTTCACATACGTTTGCTCCATTCATGCATGTCCCACCAGGATTAGATTTGCCATTTATTATATTGTCCTTTGATGCCAAGATGTATACTTTCATCACTTTCATCGCAAGCAAAACAGCAACCACATATAAGATTGATCAACTGACTGAAATCAGAGAACCCCCATATCAAAATTCCTTTATAATTACTCTTACTCACAATTCAAACTAAACTCTACTGGTTTACTTCCAAAATATAAACATATTCCAGAATAACAAACACTTACAATCACAGAATATAAAACAATAAACAATAAACTAAGGAGTTGTTTTTAAAGATAGTATAGCTCTTTAATTTTTCTACGATTCCATAGAATTTCATACCACAATCCCATTATCCAGGCACTTGATCCAGTTGCCATTGAGTTAGTGAGTTAGTGCTGGTAGTGGTGACCAAAACAAGACAACTTCTAATCTACATGTTGTTCACCTTTGTCCTTTTTCTTCACATACATCTCACAGAAATTTTCACAGCCACACAATTAAACCACCTCGTTTCCCCTTACTGCAAACTGGATCTTCCCTCGCTTATACTACCATATTCACCGTATCGTTCCTAATTCTAATATCGCACTGCGGGGTAATATACATGCCCTCAATGGGTATAAGAACCTCATTTAACACTTTTTCTTTTTCCAATTTCCCATCTCTTCTCATAAAATCCCTTAGTGTATCGAATCCAGGATGTTTCCTCAAAATCCTTACAAAGGCAAAATGCCAATAACATCTTTCTTCTCTACGGCTCCTGGCCCGGTGAAAACTGGACGATCGGCTGGAAAAGAAGAGATTGATGGTACAGCAAACGTCTTGGAGTCAGAACAGATTGACGGTCCTGCAAGCATCTCGGAGCTAGGACAGATTGATGTTCCGGCAAACGTATCGAAGCCAGAACAGATTGATGTTCCAGGAACTAACACACCAAACCTAAGTCTCTCGAGCGAGCCTGCGCCTGAGAACTCACCCTCTGAAGTCAAGACGCCTGTACGTACCCTCCCCATTCTCCCTTCCAACCCCTAACACTTCCAGGACCACCATCTCACCACCTCCGCCCTCCAAAATCCCTCCTCCGCATTCAGAACATGGGTAAGCCCACCCTTTCCCCCTCCCTAAACCTTGAATTTAACATTCTGTAGGAACGTCACGAACGCAAGAAGATTGACCCAGAGCAACCCCCCTGGATCTTCCTCGACAGTGCCGTCGCCTCCGCCCTCTCCAATTTCAAGGAGGAAGAAATCTACCTGGCCGATGACGGCGACAGAAGAATCGGCGGAATAGACTTCTCTCCGGGAATCGAGCTGATCGCTACATATCCGTTTACGGTGTGGCAGCGTGGATTGCTGTTTCAGCAGATGAAATATCGGGTTCGCAAGGAGTTGGAACCGGTGATTGGTAAGTTTACCTTGTTGTGGACGTATGTGTTGATAGTAACAAGTAGTTTAGTGAAGTATAAGGTGGAGCATTCCCCGCCAATGACGCCAGAGACTGAGGTGAAGGAGTCGGATCATGATGTGGAGATCGACGAGCCGCAAGTCGAATGTAACAAACCACCTCCTCCTTCACTGGATATCCTACTCGAACCGCCAACACTGGTATTCTTCCCCCACGACACCCTCCAACCTTTTCCTGCCGAACCAACCGGTCCACCCCCACCACCACCCCCAAACGCGACAAGAGGAGAACCATATCCCCTTTTCAAACCCTGCGTAATCGAAAACCGCATGCGACGTATCCGCCTAGGCTACAACGTCCCAGGAATGGCCACCAACGGCTTCGCCAAGTTCAACCAGCTCAAAGGCTACGACGCCGACCGTACCCGCTCTCAGAACCTCACGCTGGGCGAGCTCCAGAGGGAAATGGTGTTTCGAAAACATGTAGGTTTTTATCACCGCTGTCAGAAGGATTGGACGTGGAGCGGGCCCGAGAAATGGGGTCCGAGTAATAGGGAGAAGGTGGTTGCGAGTCGGACTAAGGAGTTGAATCTGGTGCTGAAGCTGAGACGCTGTTTGAGGGCGCTCGGGAAGGATGTTGTGGTGAATGGCGTTAGGTATGGGATGACGAGGGAGCAGGTCGAGAGGGTGTTTGCGGATCCGTATGTTTATGAGGTTTAGGGATGGGATGGGGGGGTGAGTGGTTTGCGAAGAAGTGGTATCAATAACGGATAACGTGAACTACGTCAATCTAGGAAGTCTCGTCAAAGTTCACTGGTATTAGGGTGTGTAGCTTGGATAGTAACTGAAAGAAATGAATACATTAAACATTATGGTGGGAAGATAGCCAGACTCTAATGAAATAATATCTGAAAGAAAGGAAGAGCGTAAATAGCTTTTTCAGTTTACAGACTCGAAAATGTGTTGTGTGCTAACTTGTCAGAAATTTCTCCTCTAGTAGATTAGAGTGCCGTGAGATGAAACTTCTCAAAAGCTATACCTTAAGTCGAAACATTCACTATGAACTATTATCTCTCACAAAGTTTTGTTGTTACATTAGTGCTTAAAGTAAAATGTCGTCTCGTGCTCCTCGTCTTCACCTTCCCCCTCGGCTAGCGACTCTAACCCCTGAACTAAGCCCCGCTACGGACCGTTAGTGTCTTCGCCACATGATTTTCAGGGGCTTGCGCCTCAAAGCTTCAATGGCGAAAGAAGCTTTCCAAGATTCTCCCCTATTTCTGAACACTCCGACCGTTGCCGTTGTCTTTGCAATGTCTTTATCTTGGCTAGAGCTGTTGTAAAGTGCGCTCACATTGATTGTTTGTGAGAGAGGATATGATGTTATACATGTTAATAGTCATATGCTCATCACAATCACCGAATCCCACCGGATAAACAAACATGGACCGGGAGGATAAACGGGGGGCGTGTCCGAGTCCTTGCGAACCGATCGGCAGACCTCATTTTAACACTGCAATTCCGGCAGTGGAGTTCCCCCATCTTCGTAAGAATTATTTTGAATACTCTTGCTTCTAGATTCTAAAAAAGCACTAGAAATTATCTGGCTTATCAATTCCTATTTCATAATGCAGTAACTAGTCTTTCATTCAACAACAAATCCATCTCGTGTCTCTCATTCAGGCATTCGGATATCTCCCTACCTTCCCAATCGAGCCTTAGGATGAAGGTGCTCCCCATATCTAATCTGCAGGCACAGACCTGTCTTCCAGGTACTTTTACCCCTCAAGGTGTTTTATGAATCTTGTTATTGGCTGGATGAAGACACCTGCCAGCCAAGTCCTAGTGGCGGCTGCAATATCTACACCTCGGGACACTCCAGAGTTGCGGACTGCCAGTGTCTGCATATCTCGCAGGCCACCATCTGCACCGGATATTTGAAAATGTCAAAATCCACCAGGAACGTCCCTGAGATCGTCGGACAATATGCACGCCATGTGGACTGGAAGTTGCTTGATCACAAAGTACGACTCTCCCATATAGCTTCATCCAATTAGCTCCCTCGCATGCTCCCTGTCAATGGCTCTTATCGTCTTGGCTGTACATCTCTGGGGCTCGAGAGACATGGGGATGTGAGTTGGCCATGCCTTCAACCGTTTGCTTCTCGAAGATCGCGCAATGCTAAGACTTCCCAATGAAGAAGCTGGGCATGCAGGTGTATATGGGTGCATTCATATATGCGCTCATCCAAGCTCCCTTGTCTCCATCCCAGAAGGATGGGAGAAATATAAATTAACAGAGCTTCCCCAGAGAGCTACCCTGGAAAGTACCTGCTTTTTCCTCGTCCACCTTGTCAATTCACAGCAGGAAAGATGCGATACTTTGGTGCGGTTCTGTCACTTGCCAGCGTGGCAGCGGCGTCTTGTGATGCGGATAATTGTCTGCGTGCGTTGAGAGCGACACAGGTTCCGGGCCAGCTTCAAACGGCTCAGGCGTTTTGTGCTACGTTCACGAAGACTTCGGTTCCGGCTACGGCTATTCCTAGTTATGCTGCGAATAACTGCAAGGACAATCAGAATGCGCCGTTGAGCGCGAGGATCTCGAGCGCGTGTAGTTGTATTGCTCCGTCTACTACGTCTTCTGTTACCACGGCTACGCCTACTGCGACTGGGACTGGAAGTGCTTGTGCGCTTGTTAGCCAGCTTTCTGCTTCTCAAAAGGCTGCTTCGCCATCTGGTGGGTTAATTCGCTTTGTTACAATACTTTGTCTATGCTAATTATTTGTTCAGCAACTCCCCAAGTTCCAGCAAGATTAGCACAAGAATGTCTCTCCTCGGTTCCATTGGCGAAAGATGCTGGACTTGCTCTTGTGGATGCTCTAGTTCCATACATTGAGTGGCAAAGTGGTGAGTAGATCATAAGAAAACACAAGAATCAATTGGGAGCACAATTCTAATGACTGTGAAGATTTGGCATGGTTGAAAGACCCTCCATCCACTTATTTCTACCCACCACATGATCCTCTGGGTTACCTTGCCAAGGTCAAGAGCAACCTCCAGATCGGTGCATATGCCAATGAGGAGGCTTTTGAATTGGATTTGTACAACGTCTTTGCTAAGGCACATGATGGACACTTCGTTTTCTATCCTGATACCTTGTCGAATGGATTGAGATGGGTTCGACCAACTTCGTTGGTCTCTGTGAGTTTGGATGGAATTTCAGCTCCAAAGATCTTTTTGAAGAGTAAGTTACAAATCTTACAACGGAGTATAAGTTGCTAACATTTCCTAGACGAGATCTCAGCTTCTCCATCCAAGGCATCAGCTATCACCAAGATCAATGGAGTCGACGCAGTGAAATATCTCGAAGACTTTATCTTTTCTGCTACTTTCAACCAAGATGCCGATGCTGGTTACAATACCCTCTTCTACTCTATTCCATTTGCTGCTGCTGGAATTCCTAACGGATATTTCTCTAGTGGAGGAAGAACTCGGTAAGCATCTCAATTGCCCTATTTGATCACCCTCACTAATCCTACCAGATTCATTTACCCAGGTGACAACACGACCTACACGTTCGAAAACGGAACCAGCTATACCTTCGGCAACGTCGCCAATGTCCTAGGAAACTGGGCCGGCGTTGTTGACGGTCCTTCATTCTTCAAGAAATTCGCTCCAGGAGCAGCAGCCGCTCTAACCATTCAAGCTGAAGAAGCACCCTCCTCCCTTCAAGCCTCCGCAGCAGTCCCAGGCTATCCAGATGCAGAGCTGCTCCTGCCTGATCTCTCCATCGGTGGTTACTATCTCAATGGCACAGGCTTCGAGGATGTCGCTGTTCTCACCTCCTTGTCATTCGAGCCTGATCTCCCATCTGACTTCCAACATCTCGCTGAGACCTTCTTTGCCGAAGCCAAAGCTGCTGGAAAGACCAAACTCGTGATCGATCTTTCAGTCAACGGCGGTGGCTACATTCTCCAAGGATACGATCTCTTCCGTCAACTCTTCCCCTCCATCGACCAATTCGGAGCCTCCCGTCTGCGAGAATCCGAGACCTTCATCGAAGCTGCCCGCGCCTACTCTGACGCTGTCGGTGGTGACTTCGACCCAAACACTTCCCCTGATGCAGACCTCATCAATATCTACGAAACCTTCCTCAACTACCGCTACGATCTCAACATCACAAACCAAAACTTCACATCATTCGCTGCGAAATTTGGTCCCGTCCCACTCCGCGGGGACGAATTCACCGAGCTCATCCGCTGGAACTTCAGCGACCCCATCACCACCATCAACGCCACATGGGGTATGGGAATGGACATCACCGGTTACCGATCCCGCCAGAACTTCACGCAGCCATTCGCCGCCGAAGACATCATCATGCTCACCGACGGCTACTGCGCTTCCACCTGCACGCTCTTCGCCGAGTTCATGCGTACCCAGGCAGGCGTGAAATCCATCGCCCTAGGCGGCCGTCCAGAAGTCCAACAAATCCAAGCCGTCGGCGGTGTCAAAGGGGCTCAAATCCTGAGCTTCGGAAGTATCTTCTCCATCGCGCAAACCGCCATTCAATACGCCGGATCCAACCCCGTTGACGCGCTCAAGAAACTCTCCGCGCTTCCTGACAGACGATCAGCCAGTAACGGGATCAACATCCGCGATAACATCCTCCCGGATAACGTCAATGACGGACTTCCCGCGCAGTTCAGTTATGAGCCTGCGGATTGTAGGTTGTATTATACGCCGGAGATGATTGGGGATATTACGGCGACGTGGAAGGCGGCTGCGAGTGCGGCGTTTAAGGGGGGGAAGTGTAATTTTGGGGGATTGGGGAAGAGGGGTGTGGAGAGACGGGTGCAAAGGCCGAGAAGTGCGAAGGTGGATAAGAGTAAGAGGAGGGAGTATAAGAGGGTTGAGGTTGTGAGGGATAGACATTGGTATGTTAGACATGGGAAGAAGGTTACCGAGGTTTAGAGGGGTGGTGTAGAGGTGATAGAAATGAATTTATGCGTTTAAATACAGCAAAGTTGACTTTTGATACTGCTCTTGATGGTATTGGTGTTTTTGACTCAAGTTGTGCTTTAAGAGAGTCTTGAGGATCAGAAGTATATATTCCCAAATGATCTGACGTCGTAGAGGTACGGAAGCTCTCCTGATAATTTTAATACGGCTGAAAAGGACATGCCGAATACCGTGATGATGGGGACATTTAATGGATTTGATGTTATTATAACATGTGAGATCTTTTCATATTTATAAGGCATCTTTAGGTCGATTTTGGCTTGTAGTGGCGATGGAAGAGATGTCGTTCATTTTGTCGAGCGCGACGGGACGCTCCCGTTTGCTTGGCGCTCGCTCCCGTCATTCCGCGACCGCGTCGGAGCACGTCTGAACATCGCAACAATGTTACGAAGACCACACCGTGGTGAGAAAGATTCTGAAGCCGTCTGATTGTACAGTAGTATCACTTGGGATGCATGCTTTACATACTAGGTACGCGGGTAGCAAAAGGTAGGTCATGAGTCAGGTCTATCACAGAGCTCTTGAGGCATTGAAAAGGCGAAAGTAATAGTATTTCTGCTGTATTCTTGGGTATCATAATTAACATTAAAACAGATAACACCGATCCCAATGCGTCGTTGTTTTTCCCACCGGCCCAATGCTCCCATTATCCCAACCATTCAACCAAATAACGCCAGATCCGAACGGCCAAATACCCAAGCTCAAAAGCTTCTCCATTAGTTTCATATCGGCCTAGAATTCGCAACAAACCCAGGCAGATTCGCATCAATAGGCACATTAGAGTATGCACCGGGTCCCAATGCCACAGTATTATACGCGCCACTCGACATCGTATCATCAGCTCTCACAGACGACCCGGAGACGCATTTTCCGCCTCCCCAAGTCACGGCAACCACGCGCTCCCATATCTTAGTCCCATCGAAGATATCTTCCGGCTGGTAAAACAAACGGCAGTTCGTCGCTTCGTACAGGAATTGTAGTGGAATATCGCTTGGGTCGGTGGAGTTGAATGTACTCGGGATATTGACACGACCGCGTGTGTCGAGGGACTTGCCTAGTGGCGGGTCTATGGTGACGATCCTGTATTGTGAGGGCACATCTTCGATGCTGGGGAACTCCAAGTCGTTTGCTTTGAATAATGCTTCGGCGGTTGGGAGTTCGGAGATCTCGGCTTTTAAAGCACCGTAACCTAGGACCCAGGATCTAGGGGATTGTTAGTTGGTCTCCAGCAAACTTGGAGGGTAACGTACCCTTCTGATCCTGCAACTCCTTGCATTGGACCTGTCTGTGGTCGTCCTCCTACGGCTACACTTCGAACTCCTCCCTGGCTCTTCAATGCTTGCGCGAAGATTGTACAAGTGGAGCCACATGATCCGTCAAATAGTATGACCATATCTTCAGACGCGAACATTCGCTCCGTCCGCGATGGTGTGATAGGGTTGAAATGTCTTCTCGTAATCGCGGTGAAATTATCACCCCATATCGTTTGCGGGGTAATAAATTCCGTGTAGTTACTGAAGCTCTCACCATTTTCGTTTACAGCGGATAGAGCATCATACATATGCGCCTTTTCTATATTTGACGGGTCTAATTGCGAGACAGTCGTCCAGACCTTGCCGAGATATTCTCCCATCGGGGTATCACGATAGCGTTGAGCGAGAAGCGGGGTGGTGCCGGGGAATAGTTGTTGAAATGCTGACATTCCAGCAAATACCTTTCCGCCGCCGTTGTGTTGGAGATCAATTATCAGCTTGGTGCATCCAGCGATCTCGCATGCGTCGAGGAGATCATTTATGACCTGTGTTTGCGAGTCATCTTCATTGTCCATTGCGCTGAAGGAAAGAACACCGACGTTGGAGTCGGGCAAGATATACGCTGCCGTAGTGCCGTCTGGGGACTTCGAAAGAGCTTCTGGGAAACCAGCGAGCTCTGATATTGCAAGAGGCGCTGCATCTGGTGATTCGGCTGTTGGTCCACCTGGTGCTGGGAGATCGATTTTGTTGAACAAAGCACTACCGCTATCCACATTTGCGAAAGCAGTGCTAGTAGCTTTGTTATCAATTGAGATCGTGGTGCCATTAGTGAAAACGAAAATTGTCTGGTCTTGGGAGAACCCAAGGTTGTGGATGTCGGACGTGAAACTGCCGTCACCGAAGATTGTGGTGAAAATCTTGTTGTAGATGGCGTCTGGGTCCGAATATTGCGTATCGGTGTCTTGAGCGGTGCCTAGCAGGTAGTCCACTGGGATTTGGCCGTTGATTGAGATGATTGCCGATGGAGACCAGTCGAAGGTTGCGCTTGAATTGTATTGCGCTTCTAGATCATTTGTCGAGAATACCTGGGGAAGAGCACCATCAATTGATACCGAAGCCAGTGGAAAGTCTATTTCAAATTTGAAGACTTCAAGAAGTGGCATTGGCAAATTAAGATGGAAATCCCGTGACAGGACATTGACCAAGATAAACAGATCTCTCTCAAACCCGTACTGTCCGGTATATCCTCCATTTCTGATTTTCTCGCCTATTTGGTCCAGGCCACCGAAGATATCTACTCCATCCATGATATAGCTATCTGGTGGATTGGCAAGATACGCTGAAGAACTTTGGATTTGCAGAAATGGCGTTACCCATTCTATGAATGCCAGAGATCTTTCTGTGTCTAGTGGCACGCTTTCAAGGCATTGTACTGCTAGTGATGGTGGTACGAACGCTAAGATCTGTTAGTACATAGAAAATCTGGGATCTTGGAGACTTACCAGAGGGCGTCGCAAGCATACTGCTCACAGTCCAACATGGCTCCCCACTACCACTAGGTATCGTCGTCGTCGAAGGCGGAAGCTCAGACACAAATGATCTACTCGTCCAACTAGCATCTTCTCGAGGACCAAGTGTATGGTCCGCGGCTTCCGCTGTGATGGTTCTCGTTATCGTTACTACACGCGCATTTGCGGAATGAGCAAGTGCTGATGCAAGTGCTAGTGCTTTGATGGAAGCTCGCATGGCGATTGACTATGTGGAAGGCGAGTGCCGAGCGGAGAAGTGGAAGGATGTCGAAACCTAGTGTGGATTGATCATTTTCTTTTTGGGGTTCTGTTGAGTCTATATACTTCTTCCATTTTTTCAACATTGCCACTCTTCGTTCAATCATCTTAACCGTCTCGCATTATGTTCGTACCCTACGATATCTCTCAGACGTCTTACGCAAAACCACCCGCGTTTCTTTGTTGTATTTCATTCTAAGCGATTCAACTACCGCGGCCGCCTGCAGCTTCTCTGTGTTGGCAGAAATGAGGCTTAGGTAAAACATCCCCGCGAAACATCGTGTTGGCGAAGGCGATTTTTCATTGCGAAACATATTTTCTGTTGGAACCTATTTTGTTATTCGTGGTGGCAGAGGGTTTTAGGTCATGTGAAGTCACGAGGTTGAAATATCTCGCTTAAGCAGCGGTACCACCCCTGAGATGTGTTTCGGATTGATAATTCGTACTTCGTACGGCTGATTGGTAGTCTTGATTGGCAGTACGAGTCGGGTTTTGAGAGGTTTTGATTCGCGTGGTGTTTAACCTTAAGAGATGCATTGATTTTGTTTTGGTTGGGATGTTTTTATTGGTTGGATGTTTGGCGACGTGTTGGTCGTGCATTTCTTGGTTGGGGGTTTTACGTGGTGTGGCGGACCTTTCGGATGGCCATTTGTTGGTGGCTAAAGAGATTGCGCTGGCAAGATGTGTTTCATAAGTTTTTGTTGTCGGGTTGAGAGAGGGGCTGAAAGAGTTGTTGAGTTACTTACGGTGTCTTGATGTTGACTGCTCTTGATGTCTTAGTTAATAAATAGGGTAAGATAGCTCCTCAGCTTCTTGTCTCTCTGGGGTTTAAGTAGTCGAGCTCGTATTCTTTCAACTCCATAGTCTTGGTTTTGTTTTTGGAACACTTCGCCACTTTTGCCCCTTCACATGTATTTTTAATATATATTATATCCTCAGCGAATTCCGAGTTCATCTAGAACATCTTGGTGGGTGGCATTCGACTCAATCATGTGGTTACAAGGGAGGCGAATTCCAATGAGCCGGCCAGATGAAAGGCCTGCGGCGTATTAATAACCTTGTATTGACAGTGCTTTTAAGTATCTGGGGTTTTAATGACTCGGGCGTTGAGTGTTGAAGCTGAATACCTTGTTGGAGATGCTCTTGCCACTGCTTTGCTTTGATATTGAGTTGGAGGGGTCTTTGCAAGACCATATATGTGGTCAACCATACTACCAGGTACCGTATAAACTGACGAGTGTGGTTCCAGAGCTAATAGAGCCGTCACCTGATGCTTATCCAGAATTTGTTGGTTGTTTCTGTATTCCTAGAATAACCTATCAATTCAGAAGGGAGTCTTTTAGTAGTATGCGATTAACCTGTTCTAGAAAGGCTACCCTATTGTAATTCCGGTCACCTTAATGTACGCCGTAGACACATTTATGTAGACTCGAGTAGACCTCACTATCACTACCTCTACCTTGCTATCGCTATCTCTACCTCAATATAGCTACCTTATAGTTACTACCTTACTATTATAAGGTTCTAATAACACTATTATCGCTATTTAATACTATATTATAGTATATACTATTTACTATTAATTATAGACACTAGTACGTCTTTCTTCTCTTTAGCTATACTAAGTAAATATAAGTAAATCTAAGTACAAACAGAGGTATAGTAATAGTAAACTTAAATAAAGAGAGAATTTAGCGATATCGACAGCGACAGTAAAGTAGCGACAGCGACAGTAAAGTAGCGACAGCGAGGTTCCAATTATATGAGAGTTTTATACACTGTGCGTTTATTAGGTGACCGTATTTCGCATGCTGGATAAAAAACTCCATTCAGGATTCAGAAGCGGTCAACCCCAAGCCACCCCGGCCAATTTCTTCGGTATGAAAGGCTGCATGTTTTGTGTTACACCAGCATGTGAATCTGCAGCCGGATACATGTTTCACGTGACATGTGTTGTCCTCAGCTCTTGCCTCTTCTGTTTACTTACCCAATTCTTTCTTCCATTTAACAGACACACTACTTCACAAGTCAAGTAATTTCATAGATTTGAAGTCTACCCGATCGTGGCTGTCACCACCACGACTACAGACCTGATGACCTGATGAGATGATTATTTTGAACTGGTTGTTTCAACCACACTAGTCTGCACCACTACAACTTCGACGCGCCTTCTCTTTCCAGTCAAGCCCTTGAATTTCAATACTAATATTGGTGCAACGCCACAAAGAGACAATTCTAACTTTGACAATGTCGCTTCAACACAGCGTTGCATCTTCACAAAGAAGCTTCAACCGAGACCCACAAGAATCATGGACCAAAATCCGACATATAAAAGATCAAGAGTTCGTGGTAACTTCCAAAGCAAATGAATCACCTCTATGCTCTATCTGCCGGAATATGCTACGCTTGTTGGACGGTAACATACATGTTACTTGCGACATTAGAGTTGAAACCCGAGCGCAAGCGGGGTGCTATCTTTGTGCCCTTTTCGCCTTCCGACTCAAGGATTCCCGCTACGTGATAAAGGGATACAGAAAAGACCAACAAGGCCCGAGGTTTACTCTGCGTTACATAACAGACTTCTTCCGATTTCACAATTTGCCAATTCACCTTGTGCAGTCAGAAGAGGAACAAGTTGCGTACGGGAATAACCCCAGTTGCTGGAATGTTCTTACAACATCAGTGTTGGGAGTCGATTACAAAGGTGCAACGTCCCACAATCTCCTTGACTCTTTTGACTTGCTAACTGTCACAGGTCACATCTCAGATATCATTGCTCAACCTGATATCTTATCACTCAAAAACAAAATGGAAATAGCAAGTGTCTGGATGCAGCAATGCAAAGCTCGACATACCTCCTGCGCATTAGTAGATCCTCATATTATTCCAACCCGCGTCGTTGATGTCAGCCTACAAACCCCGCCAGCACCGCTACTTTGTCTTGGACAGGCAATTCCTACTGGGGCAAAATATGCCACACTGAGTCACTGCTGGGGGGATCCAAACACTATGTCCGTCAAACTTCAGCGTAGTACACTCCCATTGATGTTGCAGGGAATTGATTTTAACTCTCTCCCAAAGACATTTCAAGATGCCATCAACGTTACGCAGAGTCTTGGCATAAGGTACCTCTGGATAGACTCTCTCTGCATCATCCAAGACTCAATTGAAGATTGGCGGCATGAGTCAGCTTTAATGTCTCAAGTATATTCGAACGGCGTTGTAAACATATGCGCAACTGCGGGATCGGATAGTACCAAAGGTCTGTTATTCGGTCGGGTAGCTGATGTAACTTGGAATGTTCATGTTCAGCTACCGAAAAATCAATTTCCAGAGACAGCAATATTCTGCGATCCACAGATTTGGCGTGACGGTGTAGATAACGCTGTTCTTAATCGCCGCGCATGGGTCTTACAAGAACGTCTTCTTTCTAGACGCAATCTGTGCTTCGGTGAAGAACAACTTTTCTGGGAATGTTGCGAAAAGTCAGCCTGCGAAATGTTTCCAGATGCGATACAAGAACAACTTCTGGGAGCTAATGATATGCCCAGCCTTAAAATTTTCTCTTCTGTGATCATTCAAGATGCTCCTAAATTGCCGGAATTACGAAGCATCTGGAACAAATTAGTCAGGTACTACACAAATTGCCTGCTAAGTCATCGCCTGGATAAGCTTGTGGCTATTGGAGGTATTGTATCACGTCTTCAAAACATGTATGGCGGTCAGTATATGGCTGGCCTGTGGCGAGACCGTATGGCATATCAGTTATGCTGGCTGAGAGACAATCAAGACGAAGACGAAAACATGAGATTGCCAGACAACCCGTGCGAGCTTGTATACGTTGCACCTAGCTGGTCTTGGGCATCTTGCAACTATCAGGTTGTCAATTTCAAGGCATCTCTTTGGGAAGACTACTACTTCCCAGTAGTTGAGGTTGTAGACGTGCATGTCGAACTTGTATCAGAAAACCCCTATGGTGAGATCAAAGGCGGATTCCTTACGTTGAAGGGTCGTCTTGCCAGAGCTGAATACAATGAAGAAGGCGTTCGACTATACCAAACGCCAAAGCTGGCAAGCTTTAAAGGGCCAACGTGGGATCCCGACATTGTTTTCACGTGGGATAGTCCAGGCACCCGTGAAACCCTCGATGAGAAGGCAACTTTCTACATGCTGCCAATTCTTGGACACAGAGTGCCACTTCTTGGACACAAAGTGCCAATTCTTGAACACAGAGATGCTTTTAACGACCTCTACGATATTCTAGGAATTGTAATAAGGCCCATATCAGGACACATGCCATTGAGATTCAAGCGACTTGCTGGCTTCCGCGCGTACGGCCTCTCTGCACCAGCAGCGGCCGTAGTTTGGTGTGATTATTTTGACAAAACCTACGAAGATTGTGGTCTTGATCTAGAACCCTCTACATCTGCGACGGGGATCACGCAATACACAATTACAATCATCTAAACCCTTTTGGTCGAATTCTAGGAGCCAACTAATTTGACTGGGAAATTTGCTTTTTAGTGAACACAGAAACTAGTTGGATTGTTGAATATTTAACATGAAGAAGTCTGGGTGTCAAGGATGGAGGATGGAGGATGGAAATCCGGCATCCTTATAGGCTGGCCTAAATAAAGGGACTCAATAGGTTATAATGTTTTCTACCGACTTTGGTTTTGGAATCTTACGGTCCCTCGGTTTTATGACCTTACGAATTATGACAGATTTCTCTCTGTGTGTATGCGATTGTTTTAGAATAACATTGGAGCTGGAGACACTTTATCTTATCGATTACAATCTCAGTAAGTTACTACTGTATTACCTAAAGTATTTTCATTTCGTCTTAGGCGTAGTGACAATTCTAAGATAGCTTTATTTAGGGATCTATTAACTGTTTACATCCTAAATGCTCCTACTAGATATCTCGGTGATTTATCTAGTTGCTTTGATGTAAGTAATGGAAAATACTCGGATTTTGTCGCGACGATGATTCCCGTTCGAGAATAATTTTCCTATAAGAAGACCGACTTTCTTATCCTTTCGACGAATACTTAAACGGCAGTGTATCTAGGAGATATACTTCGTACTTTGTGCTATACTCCTTGTTTGTTTTGTGAATTTGTTGAGCATGAGAAGAGGTTTGAAAGTAGAGGTCTAATTTAATGGTTTTGCTTGTCTAAAGAAAGCAGTTCTCTATGTACCTACATGAGCGGGCCAGGTAATGTTCCTTACTTAGCGCCCTAAAAGTCGTCCACAGACGCCCCTAATGCCGCAATATCTAATAACAATATATATGTCTATATTTATTTTCATACTAAAATAATAATCCTAGTTTAATAAAAACCTGAGTTATTTTAGTCATTAAAAGCGATAAAGACAGAGTACTTTAAGTTGACATTATTATCTAGTTGCGTAATTTTTCCACCTTCTAGTATTAGGAAATTTTTATTTATAAGTACGGTTCTATACTAATTGAGGACAACATACAGTCTTACGAACCTAGAGAAAGACGGTAGATAGTATGGTTATAGATAAATGAACGTTAAAAAGTACAAGTTTAAAAGCGAGAATATAGCTAACCGTAGGCGCTCTCCTGCAGTAGTAGGATTACAAGGAGCTGAATATACAAGGCTTAGTCGGTTGAATAGACATAAGGTAACGGCATCGGGAATCAATAGTCAATTACCTATGTATCCTCTATACCTTTCCCTTAAGTCCTGCTCCCAATGCCGTTGTCACCGCTCGTACTGTCCTCAACGGCGACGGCACTTTCTGACACTTTTATCCCGCTTAACTCCGCCTCTGACTTTACTGTTTCGATTCGCCCCTCAATAATCGGGTCTCCATGTCCACCACAGAAGGCAAAGAATCGATGACCTCCCACAGGGTTCTCTCCAATGCCGACACGGGTGCTCATAGTTTCCTCCTTGGACCCTTCGAAGAGGTCCCAAGCTACGTTAACTGGTTGCCCGCGGTTGGTGACGTTCTTGTCGAAAGCGCTCGCTGCTAGCCCGGCAATGGAGATGATCTCTTGCTTGGGCTGCGTTGCCCTCAAGTCTGTTCGCCTCAGCGAATGAAACAGAACCCAAGCATTGAAGAGGATTGAGAGTAAAAGAAGCACCCCGAGAGTTAGTAGCGGTGCCTTGGGAATACGTGCAACTAGTCTTGAGTATCTCTGCTGCTGGTCCAGGTTGTCTGCAGGTTCGACTGCAAGTACTGCGAGTGATAAGTAGTGTCTGTGCCAAGTGTCAATCCAGTTTTCCAGTGCAGACTCTCGGTTGTCAACAGTGGCTGTAGTGGCCGCTCCGCTGGAAAGAAAAGGGTCAAAGTTGTACAATGTCGGTAAGAATATTGCGTTCACTAGGTCCAGGTTGTTGAGTGGGCTCATTTCTGTTGATTTGAGGGATCCTTTGACGTAAGTGTACGTGAGATTGACCAATTCTGTGCTACAACCTATGAAATTGTTGAACGTCGGGAATGAGTTGGATTGTAAGCTCCAGTAGGCAGGTAGTCCATAGGGGCTGGGTCTAATGCGGGAGTCTATTCGGGAAACGGTGTAGAAGGCATTTGCAGTATTGTCGACAGTCATTACTTCTTGCCACTTCTGGTCAGTGAAAAATGATGTCACGAGGCCAAAAACTCCGCTTGCAACGATTGTGCCTTGGGCAACAGGTTCAGTTGAGTTAGGCCAGCCGAGCGGAACACCAACAAAGTTGCCACATTTCGCGAAAAGAGTGTTGGGATAAAACTGTCGTGCCATTCAAACCGTTCTGCGGCGACAGATAACACCACTCGTCGATCGTTTGACAGGCTGACCGGACAGCATATGTATTGGCATGATAGTCAAGATTTTCCCGGTGAAAAGTTGGTCCAATATAAGCTACGCGCTCCTCTCCAACCGTGACGGTGACTATGTCGGATTCGGTGTCTCTTCCGGAGATTACAGCAACAAATTTCTCTGGGTCGGTGAGAATCGGTGGCACGTCGGCGAGCAATCGCTCCATGATACAACTGTATGGATCACCAATGAAAGCTGAGTTGCTGGATGTGCAGTTTGGGGTAAGAGTACGCCCCCAGGATTCCATAGGATCATCTATTGTCCCACTCTGAGAAGAAGTGGTGAAAGAAACCGTGGAGGTTCCAATGTGCAGCCAAGTATCTACCATCCAAAGCCCGAGTCTAGCTGGAGTTAGAAAATTTGAACCTGATACGGATCGTAACGTACCCGAGAACAGTAGATATGAGCACGACAAAGCCGGTGTGAGAAAGGAACATGGATTGTTTTTCGCGGCGACGAGACTTAGCGTAGGATAAATATTCCCACAGAGACCCCAGAGTTCCGCTTTTTAGACCGAGAAGTAAAGACAGCTGGTAGGGCGTCAAGAGTCTTTCGTGGCGTGAGAATAACGCGTCGGAGCTAAGCTGTTCACTCTGTCTATGCCAGAGCAAAGTTGTCAAAAAACCGGGCAGTAGCAGGGCAATAGTACTTGTCCATGACGCCACAGTCGTGTACTGGGTCGCATCAAAGTCCACATAGAAGGCTGTTGGGTCTGATCCGCTCTCATTGTACACAAAATCAGCCCTCGAGTGCGAAGACGGTTTGACATGGTATCGCAACAGTAGTGATATCAAAACGGCTAACAGAGTGACCAAAGGCAAAATCGCAATACATGCTGACACACCAAATTTCCACGGCACACGGCCGGATCCAGACGCCTTCCCGGCTGACGACGGTCGCTCGTTCTTGGATGGTTGCGATTTCACCCCAGTATCAGCATCTTCGCAAGGCTGGATAGTATACTCGGTCTCTATGGTTTTGTGCGTATGGCGCCTCCAATAGTGTCGTGCCAGTATAACAGAGAGAAAAAACAGAAGAACGGGAATCGTGACGCTGAGAGCGATAGACAAGATGCTCGCCGTTCTATTTGGTCTCGCTTGACCACCAGTTCCAGCACCCGCGGTGAAATTGGTCAACAGGACGAGCTGAGGCCGGTGAAGTTGATTCTTCTTCGACGAAGTTAGTTGAACCTTAACGCTATCGTTCATGGCCGTGAGACCGGGTCTCTCCTGCCCCAGATCATAAAGCTCTAGGAAGATTGACCAAAAGCCGTGTGGTAGCTCGTCATAGAGTGGGGACGACCAGCTCGGAAGATTTAGCTGATAGAGGCCATCGTTGCCAGAAATGTTGAACGAGCTATCGTCGCCAAAACCTTGGCTGTAGTAGAACTCTCCGGGCCCAACTATACCGATGCCTGGAAACTGGACTTTATGTTCGCCACAATGAAATTTGGTGGTACATCGTCAACAGTCCACGTCATATTGTACCGCTGGTCCACATCGATCACTTCGCCCGAGCGCGGTGTGATAATATTGAACCCCAAAGCTGGCGCGGAAAGCCCTAGGGCGGTGATGATTGAAAATTGCATTTCCACTGATGTTTTCCGGAACTTCTCTGTGTTTTCACGGTGGCCCAATGTAGCTTATATACCGGTATCTGTTCACCAACACCGCCGATCGCCATTCTCCACCTGCGGCTCGCAGCTCAGCTCACTGTCAAAAGACTCCCAACTTTGGGTCTCGAATCCTAGAACCCGGGAAGAAGAATGAAAAAAAAAGAACGCCCTTACACACCCAATTAGAGGACAAGGAGCTGAAATTCGATCTTGCCAATGGTGCTGGGGGACAAAGCGTGGCGTCTGCATGGCACAAACCTTTCAGTTTCCAACTCGAATGAGGGGACAGAAGAGCCAGATGATCAGCCAAAGGTTGCTGAATAATTCTCTGTCAAGACTGTCAGAATACGCCTCCATTAAAACGCACGGAGTGACAATAACGCACCTTTTCACCCTAAAACACCTAATTCTCTGGCAAGTCCACTTAAATATTAATAAAAAATTTAGAGACTACCTTACTGGTGAATTACATCTCTATAGAGGAAAATTAACTTTTACTTAATATCCGCGCTTTTGTCAAGGTGTTTCGTAAGTCGATCTTGTGTTCGCTTATGTTGCGATTTCCACGGACACGTATTCCGACAGCCTCGTGTGAATGGCTGGCTTCCTCTGCATTCCGATCAAGCCATTTTTTGGAACTTTGCGGAGAGACAAGCATTCAGCTGAGCGCGAGCTGGCGCCTCCCAGTTATTCTATGGTGGCTGGAATTTGCCAGTAGGGTGATCGATTATCTGCTTAATCTGGCGCTTATAACCATCAGTAGCTCACGACTGTGAGGATGCCTATCCATCTAACCTCCGTTTAGAGTAAGCGATTGCGATCACCGGACAGAGATGAGAAGCAATGAGTTCATAAGAAGCAACTGAGAACGAGACAAACCTACAAGTCTATGAACCTTCACTACTCTTCCCAAGTTTTGCAAACACCGTAATTGCCTAGTGACGAGTGATTGATCCTAGAAAGCGGTCGGTTATATACTCACTCTCGTAGCATTTCTGGAAAATGTGCCCGACGTAGTTGTGCCAGTCGAGCTTGTAATCCAATACATTGAAACTCTTCACAAACTCCCAGTATTAGGGATACCATCCCGAAAATTCCGAATCTATAATGGCAGCCAACTTCCCATCTTTGACAATGATATTGCGGGGTGCAAAATCGCCATGCGTGAACACAATCTCGTGATCTGTCCTCAAAGAACGTGAGGCCATGTCATGCATCACGGTCGGGATAGCTTTGAAAGTGTCAGACAGAAGGAAGTCATTGAAGGCAGCTTCAGTATCGAATGGACCGTCCACGAGGTCGAACTTCCGCACATCCATTGCCTGCCCTCGGTTGAGTGCTCCAATATATCGCCCTTTCAGACCACGTAATTCAGAAAGAACCTGCTTCAGCTCAGCTGCGAGGGCTAGCTTCTGCTCCTCGAGAAGCGTACCCCATACTTTGTCCAAGCTTTCCCCTGGGATATATTCCATCGTGATGGATTTTATGGATGCGCTTGTATCTTCGTAAACGCGAAGAATAGGGATGTTGGTATTCGCCGCAATAAATCGCATATTATCTGCCTCCGAAGACTGTAGGTTAGGACTAGATTTGACAACCCTATTTCCAAAGCGGACCACCTTGCGTTGAAAGTTCGAAAGCAAAACAATTCCTAAAGCTATTTAGAGTTGAGTCTCTTACAGCATAAGGAAGAACATTGACATCTTCCGAGTCTTCTGGAGTTGTAACGTCCATGGTGAACGAGTTGGTCCTCGATGATTGATTTTCGAAACAGCGCGCGGAAGCCAACTGCTTGAAGTCAGCGCGAACGGAGTATCCGCATCACGTGTGTACCCACAAAACCCCGCACTCGTACTGAGCTCGTATTATCCAATCAGATCCATCTGATAAGCCGTCCCGTGACCGGTCCCCTCGCTTCGCCTCGCCAAACAGTCGGTCAGGGTCCTCTCAAAAACTGTAACCACAGCGATAACAAGTGACTACAACGACGTGGTCGTGTCACCCATCCACCCTTCCTCAAACCAGCTTCCACATGGATTCTCATGTCAAGAAAATAATATGAAACCATGGAAAAAACACCTCTCCTCACTTCTCGGCGTGATAAGGGCAAATCGAGAAGGTTCGAGGGTGTGAGCTTGCTAGTGGTGGCTACCTTGAGTCTTGGTATCAGTCTATGGGTCTTGCTTAGAGCACATGCATTTCTGAGATATGAGAGCCCAGGTTTTTGGGATTTGAATGGGAAAGAGGGGGTTGAGGAGGGTGGTGGGGAGTGGAGGTGGAAGGATGTGAGTTTAGGTCTTGCTGGTTCGTATTTCTGCTGATGGGTCAAAGATTAAGCCGGCAAAGCAGTTGAGGTGGAAGAGATGTTATGAGAATTATGACTGTGCTGTGTTAGATGTACGCCTCTCCCTCTCATTTTACAAGAAATAATCTAATTTGATAATGCAGGTCCCGTTAGATTGGGTTGAACCATCAGATAAATTACGTGCTAGTATCGCAGTTATAAGACTTAACGCCACGATTAGAGGAGATGAGTATAAAGGCGCTGTTTTCATCAACCCAGGTACGCACACTCTCTCATTATCCAGCAATAAGCTGACAGAAACAGGCGGACCAGGTGGCTCAGGAATCTGGTTCATAAAACACTTCTCCCCATATTATCAAACCGTCGTCGGAAAGAACTACGTTCGTCTTCTTTCCAATCTATACTGTCCAATCTCTACTTTGCCCCAACTAACAATTTTTACAGGACATAATATCCTTCGACCCCCGCGGTGTCGGTTTCACAGCCCCACACATCTCCTGCCTAACCCCCTCATCCTCGCTCCTCTGGTCTCTGCTCACACCTCCCGTCCTAGACGCGCACGCGGGAATCCTCCATGACGCCTATGCTCGTGCGCAGGCATTCAGTCAAGCATGCTCTCCTTTCCAAAACTCCACTTCAGCACTCGCTTACGTATCCACCGCTTCCACGGCTCGAGATATGTACGCGCTCGTTCAAGCCACGGGGAATGAGAAGTTGAATTACTGGGGTTTTTCGTATGGAACTTATCTCGGCGTCACGTTTGCCTCGCTATTTCCTGAAAAGGTGGGGAGAATGGTGAATGACGGGAACGTCGACGCTATCGAGTACACTAACTCAAGAGGCGTGGGATTTATCCACGATACTGAGAAAGTAATGGATGCTTTTTTTCATTTCTGCTTTCTAGCTGGATCAACTGGCTGTCAATTTTGGGACACAAGCGAAGACGCAATACGCACTCGTCTCGACCTGCTCTTGCAAGAACTAAAACGCAACCCGGTCATCGTACCCGCAACAAATGAGGGAGGTCGACCAGAAATAATCGCCTTCTCATCCCTCCGCCGTCTTATAACTAGCACCCTCTACCGTCCTCTCATCATGTTTCCATCTCTCGCTACAGTTCTCTCAGGCCTAGAACGCGGGGACGGGAGCCTATTCCTCGCGCTCCGTCCGCCGATAAGTCAGGATCCGTTTGGGTGTTCTAATGACGTGGATGAGGAACTAGAGGGGACAGAGGATGCGGAGAAAGCGATTATGTGTTCTGATAACGGGGGTGTGGAGGAGGGAGTTGATGTGTTCGGGAAATATGTGGATAAGTTGATCGGATTGAGTCCGAGTGCTGGGGCGACGATGGCGGAGATGAGATTGGGTTGCGTCGGGTGGAAAGGGAGAGCGAGGTGGAGGTTTGATGGTAGATATCCCAGCTCTCCAATTCATCTTTGAGGTTTTTGAGCTGACAAATGAAGGACCATTCGAGGGCAACACAACAACACCAATCCTCTTCATCGCCAATAAAGCAGATAACGTGACGCCTTTGCGTAGTGCAATCGCGAACCAAAAAGGGTTCCCTGGGTCCAAGATTCTAATTCAGGATTCATATGGCGTAAGGTCCATGTTCTCATCTATCACCTCTCTTATTCCCTCATCTGTCAACCCCATAATCTCTCATTTATCAACTCACTATCCCTCATTCCAAGTCTACCCCTCATCCTTCATACTAATACCCCTCAGCACACATCCCTCTCCACGCCCTCTCACTGTACAGTAAAAGCCATCCGCGCATACTTCCAGCACGGCACACTACCTGCAGACATGAGCATCTGCAACGCCGATCTCGTCCCGTTCGAGCCGTGGGATATTAATGATCCTACTTCTTCGTCGTTCGAAGATAGAGAATTAAATCTCGCGCTACGAGAGCTGATGAAAATGCCTATACCTGGACTGTTTCGCTGAGAACGACAAAGATGATGAAATATTGAAAATAGACGGGAAATGATGGGAATGTATCAAATGAAGGAGACGAAGGATGAGGAATGAAATGAGATGATTTATGATTTGCACATATATGCGTACACAATAAGAGCAATTTCCGACGAAAGCGCCGATACGAAGAAAATATCGTCAAGAATGCGAGGAAGATGGAAAACGATAAATGAAATACGAAATGGTTACGATATGGACATTAAATCTATACATAGTAAGAGTAGCATCTGATATTAGTGCCTATATTAGGATCATTTCGCTGAAACTTTGTAATAAAAGCGCCTACACTAGGAAATATCGCTAAAAATGCTATGAATTCCGGAACAAGAAATGGGATGAAGTTGCACATCATAAAAAAATCTGATTTCTAACCGGAGATCTGGTGTCTTTCTTTCCGCCGTGAGCACACCGACTTCTCTAGTTTCCTAGTTGAGAGACTCCTGAGTGACTAGTTGTGGACAATCTGCATCAATAATAATATGTTAGGAACTTTAGTCACAACGCTCACAACAAACGACGAACTAACCACTGACCATTCTCTAAATAGAAGGGAAGCCATAATGTTGTCGTCAGTAGATATCTAATATCACGCCCTTCACCTGACATGGTGATAGGCCAAGAGATGCAACATAGATCTACAGTAATCACGGCCAAATATTCCCCCATTCTACAACAATGACCTCAGACTCTGGATATCTCATTCTTTGATATTCGAATGATACTCCATTTTCAAAAACACCCGAATCGCACTTCTTCAGATCCCTCAACAGACCATGGCCTCCCTACCCAAAACCTCATTCACCCTAAAAGGCGGCTGCTTCTGCAGCGCAATCCGCTACACAATCCAAGTCCCGCCACTCTCCGCTCGTCCCATCATCCCCGTAGAGAAAGACGAGCCTATTGGTGTCCAAGACGAAGTAACAGCACGCCTACCCTTAATTGACCTCGATCACTGCAACTCCTGCCGCCGCATCTCCGGCTCCGTATTAGAATTCTGGCTCATCATCCCACAATCATGGGTTCGTTTCTCGTTACTCCCCAAGGACCCAGCGTGTGGCCACGCTGAACCAGCAACAGTGGATGTGGTGACCGGAAAGAGCGAAATACTAGAGTCGACGTTCTTGAGTAGCTACTCGAGTTCAGAGGGTGTGAAGCGGAGTTTCTGTGGGAGGTGCGGCACGAATTTGACGTTTCACTATACGGCGCTGGGTGGGATGGCGAAGGCGGCGAGGGAGAAGGGGGTGGAGTGGGAGCCGCATATGGATGTTACGCTTGGGAGTTTGGATCGGGAGGGCTTGGAGATGGAGGGGATGAGACCTACTGAAGTTGCGTTTCCGGAGGATGGGATTGGGTGGGTGAAGAGGTTGTTGAAGGAAGGAGAGAAGTGTTTCTCTGAATGGATTTGATTTGTTGGGCAAATCTAACCCCCATGGTTTTTCGTTTTTTGAACGTGTAATAATTCTGTTCGTGGTTGAGAATTGTGGTTGTACTATACCACAATAGAAAAACTGTATAACGAAATCCGTAAGAACAGAAACTCTACCCCTCTATAAAATCAATCAAAGAGTACCTAAATAGCGCTGACTTATTACCTCTCTTTCCGCTAACATCGGATCTGCGATCGAAGATTCAGTCCTCATTCCTGTTTCTCGATTTCTTAATTCCTCGGCTACATCCGCACAATCAGGTTTTGCCCAATAGGTCTCTACAATCTCAAATGTCCGAATCAGATAATACTGGTCTTTACCGGGGACCGTCTCTTTGCGAAATACTGGCGTTCTGTTACTATAGAGCTCCCGACCGCGATGACTGCCGACACGGGGCACGATGTACCTAAATGCCAGCCAGTACAGGATCGCGAAGGCAAACACAGCTACACCGACTGTCTGGGAGGTGTACCAAGCGATGTGGTTACTCTGCGCTAGTGTTTTCTTGGTTGGATCAGGAATCCACATACATATTAAAGGGAAGGCTGTGCTGGTAAGAAATATGAGCGCGGCGGTGATGCTGAGCCAGTGGTTTGCTGGGGATATCGAGTGCCACAAGCTACCAGGCGAGATGCGAATGTACAGCACACCGAGTGCAATCCAAGCAAAGATTACAACGTCCAAGACGTAAGCGTAGACACTCACGACAAAGAAATAAGCGTCCCTTCCCGCATTATCTGACGATCGTGAGCCCACCAATGCTGCGCAGATGAGGATTGTGGTGAAGAGCCAGTGCAGAAATAGGGCAGGAACGGGAGTCAGCTCTGCGGACTGGTCTCGCTGGAAGTTGTAGCCCTTCGCCCAAAATAGACGATATGGGAAAGGCGGAAGAATGTTTTCTTTCGCAATTTCTTGTTTCACTACACAATTATGAGCTAACTACACGATTATCGTCTACAGCATTTGGTCACATACCTCTTGATGCCGTGAATGTAACGACAATGATATTTCCAAGGCTCGATACCGCTTTGAGCCCAGCAAAGGCGCGGCGCGCCTGATATGAAGACGTTCCAAATAAAGTAGCACTGCTGATCTCGAAAAAGCGGCTGCCAATGTCAACACCTGCAGTCTGTTCGTGTTCAGGGACAACTAAGGTCTGCTTCAATTAGCAACAAGCCTTTACGTGGTGTTTCGGTACGTACGTAGGCAATGTTGAGTAGCGTGAACATTATGCAAACGATGAAGATCGCTGTAAAAGTCGAACGCTTGAAAGTTGTCTTTGGCCGGTCGATTTCAGCCAGGACCTACCACATTGTTAGCCATGATCATCATATGAAGAGTTGCCTATTCGTACGTAGTTGGCTTGATGGAAGCCACTGAAGGGAAACAAAACGAACAAAAACGCTTCTGCATATTTGAAAGGTTTGCTGTTTGACGTGACGTGGCGGAAGGCTGCCGGGGGACTCAAATCGTTGGTCAGACTTGGAGATTTCTTCCCATTTATTGCCGCCGTCGTAATCCCTATAATTACGAGAAAAAGCAGGATCAGGAATTTGGAAGCCCCGAGGAAGCTGTTCAAGCGAATACCCCAGGTACGCGACAGACCATGTAAAATGCACGCAAAGGTAGTGGCCATGATGCCGAGTCCAATTATACTTCCGTAACTGGCTTCTGAATATCCGGCAGCCAGGAGCACGTTCTGACCAAAGTTGATAGAGTTTGCCGCGGTATTACCTATTATGAGGAAGGGAATTCCAAAGACACAGACCGCGAAAAATTTAGGGCTGGGCATTATATAGGTAAGCTTTTTGTCCGTTAGCTTTCAGGACGAAGATCGAGGGAGACTCTGTACATAATTGAGTTCACCACCATTACACGGTGTGCAGCCTTCAATTTCATCCACGCTATTCTTGTCTTTCCATGTAAATCGAGGGATGGTGAGTCCTAGTTCGGCGTAGAGGTATGTTCCAGCGAGGGCAAATATGCTTCCACACATCCAATATATTATTGAGAGCCCAAGACTTCCTGTGTTCTGAGTGATAACAGAAGCTGACATGAATACTCCAGTACCTGGCCATTGTTAATTTGGATTATGAAGATGAGCTGGAAGAACATACCGATGCATCGATTCAGGATTAGGAAGATAACCTCATAGGGTTTCAACTTGTTCAATTGATCAACTCCCTTGAATGCCGTTTTATTAGGGTCATCTTTCGCCTGATTAACAGCTATCTGCTCATCTGCGGTGAGGTCGATCCTATACGGCTCGGACTGTGAGCCAGACTCCGAGTCTGGTATCGGCGCTTCTAGCACAGCGGAATCATTCGTTATCAAGTCTTCGCTCATGGTTTCTGGGAATCAAATAAACCGTGGAATCAGTAAAGCAATAATCTTTCAGAAGATGGAGAGTTCCAGTGAGCGGTATATATTAGTAATGGGAAATTGAGGAAAGACGGGGAGTTGAAACAAGTAGTAAATGATCCAATGTACCCATCTGCGTCAGGCTGAACTGCCATAATAGACAAAATCTCGGCAGCCAACGATTACCTATTGATGGTGAGGGACAGCCACCCTCTTCACTGCCAACTCTCCGTGTGCTGGTGGCGGGAACAGACAAGGCTGTATTTGAGGCGCTGGGCGTAATTGTTCAGCTAGGCTAAGCCATAAAGTGCGGGAATACCACTCCAAAACAATATTCTTGTTCTGACAAGATTCCCAAGGTGTGATCGTGCCGTCGCCAGTGCGTGACACAATACTCTGCGCACTCGACAACTTCGATAGTAGACAAAGCGACACTACAGCTAGATATCATACTTCTTTCAATACGATTTTCCCCCTCAAAGTCGCAACTACAACTTTATGGAAAAAGTTGTTTTCGGACGAAATCCCAGTTCCTCCTTGCTGCCCAAATGTCTCTGGCTGCGCAGAGAATATAAGACATGTCGCTTGATGGTTGCAGCCTAACGCCACAAGCCCAGTGAGGCTTTTTCTTGCACTGGTATACTATTTATCACCTCAATGCACTCGAGCCGGGAACTGCATGCGCTTTGACCCGGGGTTCTCGATATCCTCGTCCCAATCGCCAGCCTGATCGCTAGATGTTCAAATGTTGCAAATTTGATCTCCAAAACGTATTGCATCTGCACAAAAGATCTGTGCTCTGACAGACCTCCCTCATCGACAGAAGTATATACCAAGACCTTTGGTTGACTGTTTCGACCAAATATGACCAGATGGGTACTCCGCTGGGCGAGATTGCAGCCGTCCTGAGTCTGGGGAAATCTGCTCTGAAGCTATATAACACCTGCTTTAATCAAATACAAGAGCCTGGTAGGTAGCTACGATAAGCACGCTATATCAGAGCTAATTTCCTCCAGGAGATCAATTGCTTGAATTCGAGACGACTCTCCTGTCATTCACAGGGAATCTTGAAGTGGTCCAATCCATTAGTGATTTTGTAGCTTCTGGCCCCTCTGATATGCGAAAAAGGCTACAGGGCTTCCAGCAACTAGACTTGAATATCAGAGCCTCCAAAATTATACTGCAGGCTTGTGACAAATTTCTCAAGGAACAGGCTGCGACCATTCAGAAGCGTGGGCTTATGACAACACTCAAGTTCCTTGTGAAAGATGGATCACAGGATTTGAAGGATCTACAATACAGAATCCAGAATATCAACAGCCAGCTAAACACATCTATACTTACCATCAATCTGTAAGTATCCCCTCCGTACATGCGCTCGCGTCTAATATGTTTCAGCAATCTGCAAATCATATATGGAGGCAGGATAGAAGAGCGAAAATGGCCCGAATTGGATCCATTGCGGCGAGACTCTGTGACCGAACCACTTCCACTTCAGGTACCCTTCGAGCTTGCCCGCAGCCTAACAATAACTGCTCGCCAGCAACATAGCAAGCTAGAAAATGCTCCTGTTACCAACAGTATCGAGACGTCCATTGTCCATCTGTCCAGAGCAAAAAACAGACTTGAGTATGCGAGCAAGAATCCCATCCGGGAAGGCTGGAAAGCGGATGTCGTCCTTGACCTCATGATCAGCGCCTGGATCTTAACGGCTTTGGTCAAACCCAGATTCAAAGACTCGGCCAGCAATCTTGATATGCAGGCAACAAGCGAGGATACGAAGCCGAGAATAAGACCTTTGGTATGGCGAGTGGAAGAGGTGAGATTTTCTTTACAACTCATTCGATAGGCCAACTGATGGGGTGTAGGAGTTGCGTAATATCTTTGACACAAACTCTTTAGGCAGTTTTGAATCGGATAAGGCAGATATTGACCAGGTGCTTTCCAGCTTTGACTCACGTCCATTCATCCAGTGGGAATCGAGCACAGCGGCTGAAACCCCGCCGACTGACCAGCTAGAAGGGATGGAATCATACCTACAACCTATCCTTACAATGTAAGCGGCCAATAAATTTTCAAGGACGGAATTGACCTATTGTAGTAGCAAGCACCAATCTGAGAGCTCCACGCAGAAAACCACGCTCTACCTGCGAGACGAGAAAACGCTCATCATAGTGAAGGCGACTGAAGACCGGGATAAAAGGACGAAAGACAGAATGAGCATCCCAGTGTAAGAATCTAGCCGACGGTGATCTGTTTATTGCTGACTCCGAGTCGAACAAGTCCACTACATAGCGCCCAATTTGTCCCTATATACGCATTTCCCAACGCAAAACGTGGGGTTTGGAACGCATCAATCCAAACGACACCAAATAGCATGTTGGAGTCGCTCTCATTTAAGAGTTTGTCAAGTGAGCAATTTTCCATGTTGGATTACTGTTGGTTATTTTGAAGAAGTACAGGCAGGAGGATTTTCTGATAATGACTGACCGGTTCATCTGCTAACATCAACATCCAGCTCTGCATCAATTTCAACAAGCTATTACCGCATATGAAGTTAAATACTTCGAGTAAGTGACCGTATGATTTGTCAATGCCCAGGCTAATAACCTCTACAGAAAAAACATAGCCATGGCGATTTACGATGGTAAGCCGAAGAAAGAGGACGGCAAGTCGAAAGGTTTATACGGCAAGTTACAAATTTGGATCCATAACCCGATAAAACCGATCGAGAAAGAGGAGGATAGTTTGCGCCGCCTTCCGTCGGTTACATCAAATCCAGTCTCGTCGATATTAAGTGGCAATGGGAAACGTTCGACTCGAAACGCCTCAGAGTCTTCGCTACAACTTAAATCAGCACAGACGACTCGCACATCCATTCGTGATAAGAAAGATAGAATAGGAATTCTGGTCGACGAACCAGAGCCTCCATATCTAATCCTCTTCGTCGAAGGTGAATCTACTCAGAAGCCTCTATCCTTTATAAGTATTGAAAGTATGTTAATGACCGATTGTAAGCTTTTCGTTTCAATCTAATAGAAATAGTGAATCTTAGCACGACCGTAAAGTTGGAGTCGAATGCAAATGCGCAGTCGTATAGAGCTGTTGTCGAGGCATCAGGCGATCTCGCTGCAGAGAGGCATGAGACTGCTAATCTTGCTGCCGCGGGGATTTATCAGCGTGGCAACACCCCAGAGGTTGCGAAGAAGCTGTAACATATAACTATAACGTTTTTAAACGATCAGCGTAAGTCTTTTGTACTTGATTAACAACCTCTTTGTTAATGAAACTTCAAGGCCGCGCCGGTTTTGCTACACGTTTTGAGGAAATTCAGCTGTTGCATAGATTAAAAATGCGGGACTATAAAAAGGGTTTGTCTGGAATGTAGGGACCCTATCGTGTATTAATCATTATATGTTGTAAATAGCTGGGAGCTTGAATATATCAAGAGGTATCTTTATATATACCTTTATTTCTAAGATAAATACAACTAACAGCCTATCTACACTAACACCTCTAATACACACATACACCCCGCGCCCATATCTCCATTTTACATACCCCACACCCCCAACTCCACAATTCCATCCCAAACACCTGATATAAACCCTTCCCCCCAAAACTCCAGCCAATGCCAGCAAATTCATAAACATTTCAAAACATCACAACACCTCAACACCTCAAAAAACCCAAATCAACTCCACAACCCCATCCTCCCCCACCGCCTCCATCCTCAACCTCCCCTTCTCATCCTTCCCCTTCTCCAACCGCTCAACCCTCCTCACATAAGTCTGCCTAACCCCATACCCCTCGAGGATCTCCGTATCCAGCATGCGATAAGTACTCTTATCCCCCTTCCCCATGCGCTCTCTAATCGGGCCAATCCGATGGAGTGCCAGATCCGGGGGTTCATTCCAGGTATGTTCGACTTTAGCGAGCTCCGCAATCTCGATACCGTTTGGGTATTCGACGACCGAGTAGCCGTTGCTGAGCACGATGTCGTCGGCGAAGAGCCAGCGCATGAGGATGCCTTCGTCGCCGCAGGCTTTCGAGACGTAGGCGAGGGCGGGCATGTCGACGTTGTACCAGGAGCGCCAGTGGTGGACGGTGAGCATCTGGCGGCCGCTTTCATAGTAGCCGTCCAGCACGCTGGCGTCGCCGTGGAAATCCATTTGGTGGAGGTTGAGGTCGTAGGTGGTGCGGATGGTAGAGTGGGCGCGGAGACACTCGTTGACGATTTGGTCGCCTTGGTCGTTGGGGAGTTCCATGCAGGCTTTCCAGACTCTGGGATCTGTTAGTTTGGCGGCGAGGGGGACTGAGATGAAAATTCCACCGCCGCCAAAGGGGATGAGGCCAAAGTTCTTCATTTGTTGGATGTTATCGGACATGGCTCCTATTACAAGTTCATCTGATGCGTCGTAGAGTTTGTTGAGATGTGCGATTAAAGCAGGTAGTGAAGGAACAAAAGTATCGTCGTCGATTAAAACAAGCCATTTCGTCTGTGGAGTCCTCGTATCGTACAACTCTTTAATCAACGCAAAATACGCTTTCGCAAATGCCAAATTCGTACTTTTAATCGTCGTCTTGATCCCCAACTCTCGCATCTGTTGTTGTGACTGTTGAATTTTACTCGACGGTGGTACAAGGATATGTAAAGTGGATTTGGTATTCGGCAGCCAATGTTGAAGCTGCGGAACAGCATCCGGCAAGCGGTCGACGTTTGTGGAGATGCCAAACGCAAAGATCGATGTATCAACTTTCGGCGACGTCGGCACAGAGAGCGTCAACGGCGGTAACGTTGACTTCAAAGCGACATTCTGCAAATCTTCCGGCTCCGCGCTCAACATCTGCATTTCATCGAACAATTTCGTATCGTTAAGAATCGTCAATTCCTCCCGCGCGCCGAAGAACGGTCGTGTCTTGATGATGCGTCTGCTGTAGCCGAAACTGGGCGATAATTCATATTTCACGAGATGCGACAGATCGTGGAATTGGTCGCGTGATCCATCTGCGTACGGGACGGTATACGGAATCGTCTTCGGGGCTTGGAGAAGCGTGGGTTGGTGGTAGATGGAGAGGAAATGGTAGATCCAGATGACGGCCAGCACGCACAATGCGACGGAGAGGTAGGCGTTGCGCTTGATCTTTGCGATCACCATGGTGGGCGATAATTGTCCCATCGCGACGATGAACAGTCGCGAGCGCGAACTGTCCAGATCCAAATATTTTCCACGATTTGAAACGAAAGTAAGATGATGTCGAGCTGCGGCGTAAGGCTGCGGTTGGTTGGGTGTTGGTTGAGCTCGAGATAGTACCTTCCATCTCACGTCACCAGCTAAGTATAGCGCGTACCACCAGCGGCTTCATCCTGCACTACGCCACTTGGATGTATGTACGACGATGAGGAAATATGCCGATAAAATGATGATGAAAATTGTGCTTTGAGGGAATGGGACCAATTCTGCCAAGAGATATTGGCAATTTGCAGCTTTTCATTTACTGGATGATCGACGGTGCATCTACGGAAAGGAGGTGTTCACGATATCAGCCTGTTTGGAATTTGTTACAGGTACAAGGCGGCTCAAGCGAATATATATAGCCCAGGCTGAGTGTTGCAGATTTGATGTCATCTGGCTGCTTACATTGAGAATGTTGAATGTTTAGTGAGGTAAAAGCTATATTCGAGGCTGAATTGATGCGATGTGATGCGGAGAGTGTAGAAAGAACATCATGATCGACTGGAACCAAAGCTTAACACATTGGCAGCTGGATTACATTGTGCGATCGCCAAAGGTGGATGTGAAAAGTATAATCGCGACCATGAAGAGCCTGATGTAGTACAGACTTTTCCACCAGGACCACAACAGGAAATCATCATCTCCATCGAACCGATATGGATAATCAGATTTAGTCTTCCCAACTCTAAACTTACTTCACCCAAGAAAAAGTGCACGAATTAGTGATAGGAGCGGCTGTGTTTTACAACTTTTCGCTGGTGCATGTCAGCAACACAGAGCGACTCGCACATCTCAACAGCACGATCGCACAAACCCATCCTCACTCAACAATAAACACGTGCAGTAAACAAATCACAAGACCAATCACCACAACTAATAAATATCTCTGATTAAATTATCATATTCTTGCCCAGCAAAACCCCATCCCCAACTTCAAATACGCTTTTACCCACCAACCTTGATACAAGAAAATCCCTAACCTACACTCCCAAGTCAACTCGCATCCCAGCACAACTCCCGTCCACCACCCCCGGCGTCCTGGCCGCTCTCGGCGGCGGCGTGACACAAAGCGCCATTCTACTATCCTCTAGCGATGTCACTGATTCCGTGGCTGAGGACAGGAGCGTGTATGTAGACGACGAGGACACACTGCCGCTGCGTTGCGAGTTGGCGTAGTATTGGACGTAAGTCGTGTCGTGCGGTGGATTGGGACAAGTGTAGCGGCCTTTAGATGGTCGTGCGGGATAGGTTGGGGTGCGTTGTTTGAAGCGTCGGTGGGTGGGTGGTGGAGGCATGGAGGTGTCGAGGGTGAAGGTTGGTGAGAGGATGTAAGGGACGAATTGGACGGGGAGGAAGACGGGGGAGGGATGGGGTGTGTAGTTCCACTGGGATAGTTAGTAATGGTATGTTGGGAAGGGTGATGGGGATTCGAACCTGTGTGGGTGGAGATTGAGGATCGAAATAGTAGGATGTTGCTGGGGAGGGAGCGTAGTAGCAAGGGGATTGTGGAGGAGAATCGTAGCTGTAGGATGGTGTGGGAGGACGAGATGGATGTGAAGATTGACAGGTTTGTTGGGTTGAAGGTTTTTGCAGTTGCGCTGGTTTCATGGCACGAAGATTCAAATATTGCGTTTCGTTACGACCGTCTGCGATCAAGTTACGATTGTTAAAAGCACCTCCATCAAGTCTCGCTGAATACAATTAGTAAGGCATCACTCGAATTGCTTTGCGATCTAGCAGTAGAACATATCTGAAGACATACCTAGGACTTTTCGAAAAGGCTTCAAGCCTACCACCCTCACCCACCCATCAGTAGATCCAGGATAAACCATGGCATAGTCGATATTGAGTTGAGTCCCATCAGACACGCGCTTGGCGAAATCCTTGAGTGACTGCCATGAGGTATTCCAAGGCAACCCAGCCACGACAATATAATATATTCCTGTTTGATTTCCTGGTGGTACCAAACAGCCTTGCTCAGGCAATTGAGATTCTGTGCTCGGCATTTCGATGACTTGCTTTGAAGATCGAATTTGAACGATGGGTAATTGCAAAGCTTTTATGATGGAGACTCGGGGCTTCGCTACACTATTTGTAGGTTAGAAACCATCTGGCCATTCTTACCAATGACGGAGGTCACTCCGTAGCTATCAAGCATTTCAGCGTGCAGATGTCGATGCAGAAGAAAAAGCAGTTTCTCTCATAGGCAACGAACCGTCACACAAACCGCTTTGGCAAGAGGCACACAAGCCACTAAGCCAACCATCCCCATGTTTAACATACTCCGTCAAGCACAATGACCAAGGTGGCTGTTTGAGGTACTAAATTTGTGGACGAGATGTCAAATTGATGGCTCGATGGTCCAAGGAATAGTTGGCTGCGCCAAGGGGGTCCAGAGATCCAGAGGAGAACTCGAACTCGAGATTAGCTGGGTGTTTGCAGATCGGGGAAGCAGCCCGCTTCTGCGACTGTCTGGGGTGAAGGGGAGGAGGGAGTCTCGACCCGGTCTGGTGAAGGGCCTTTCCCACGTTCTAAGGGTATCACAGATCTGGTCGTTGTGGACGCCCCCAGCCTAGTACCAGGTTCTCGGAGTGCTATCCTTGAGCCACCAAACGGAAGCAGTAGAAGCTGAAGTGCGATTGGTATATGAGCTTTGGTCTGCCCGTGATAATAACGGCTTATCCATTGCCTCGTGAACGCCCTCCCACGTCGCTTCATGTGGGAGGCTCGAATCTGTAGGAAAATTTGTATGCCGATACGTGAATACACAACCTTAGGGTTTGTGTTCTGACGTTAGTCTCCGGGGAATTTTGGAAAGGGGTCCGGAGTGGTATAAAAAGCAAAGGTACATAGTGTGGCTTTTTGTAGCTAGCCTCGCTGGACTTGACAGATCTTAAAGTTCCTGCATGCGAGACATGGGGAAAGGACTTGGCAATAACTCCCGTTGCAGGGAAATCGATTAGAATCTCGTAGATATACCAAGAACATAAGGCTGCAGCGTCTGTTAGATGGTGGATCGTCGATACAGACTCGAGTGCGAAAAATGTTGGTGAAAGTAGAAGATGGAGGAAAAAATGAAAGTACGCGAGTTGGAACTCGACCACTTCCGTCTTCTCGCTTATCTGTTGTAATCCTTAGTGCCAGCCAGGCTGGCTTAAATCAACCTCAGAGACGGGAACCCAAAGCTTACATCAACAAAGCAAATCCACTTTGAATTTTCTCTCGCGATGTAGCCGCGTGAAAATTCTCCGCTTGAGATGGTTGCTCAAACCCGCCAAGGAGATATCCCTTGCAACCACCATTACATATGCATCATCCCGACTTTTCGAGTTTAGCTCGCCGAACACTCGAGTCTGGTCGGCTTTGTTGCCGTATGATCTAGGCCAGGCGATGCAGGCCGGGCGCTCCCGCAAACGACTAAAGCCGCGTAACAGGACTCGGCTTGCCGGATTGACTATAACTTCCCAAAACCAAATAATGAGAAAGCCACTTAAGTTAAAACCGCTTAATAGAGCACCGCTTTTGGCTAAGTTCTTTATTTAATAATTACGTTATTAATTACGCCTTAGACGAAAGTAGAGTAATTCTTTTACTATTCTTATCTATATATTTCTTAGAATAAGTATTCTTTATACGTCTATATTTCTATATTTCTAAGAAGTAAGAGTATTTTCTTTATTTTAAAGGTCTATAAGAATATATAACTTAGTTTATCTAGATACTTAGAAAATTAAGTATTTTAGATTATATATTTTAACTAATTAAGAGTCTTAACTCTAAGTTAAGATAAGTCGGCTAACTATAATAATTTCTTTATCTAGTTATACTACTTAAAGTATATATATATAGATTATTAGCTATTATACTTTATTCTCTAAACTCTCTTACTATATTACTATAATTTTCTTATATTATTATTTAGTACTCGCTATAATAAAACCGCGCTATTTATCTATATTTATAATCTATAACTAACTTAGAGTACTAGTTATTAGATAACTAGTAGCTATATCTATCTTAACTACTTTAGTACTTCTAAGTACTAAAGAATCTAGAGTTAACCTTTAAATTCTTAAAGAATAATAAAACTTTAACTATTTTATAAGAGACTTCTATATAACGATTTAGGTGTTCTATATACTATAGATAGAGGTTTCGTCGGGTTAGTATATAAGTAAGTATATATAAGATTATCGAGTTATATACTCGGAGGTATATTCGTTATAATAAGAGTAAGTTAAATAGATAATATACTATTACTATAGTAAGTTAAGTATAAAGCTTCTATTTAAGGAAATTACAATTATTATATAGAACTTCTTTTTCTTAAGTTTAATAGGTTTACTAGTCAAACTCGTTAAACTTCTAGCTAGTTTAATAGGTTTACCTAGTAAACTTATCGAACTTCTATTATTACGTAATAGTACCCTAAACCGGGGCCTATCTACTAATATAAATATTACTAATATTAACTAAATTAACCTATTAGATAGCGGTCCTAGAAACTACTTAGTTCTTATAACCTTACCTAATCCTAGGACCTTTAGTCCTAGGAGTATTACGACGCTAAGGCCGACGCTACTTATAATACTATCCCCTATTTAGACTAGCGGGTCTATACGCTTAAGTATAACTAAGAAATATATTAGTTAAAGGCTATAGACTTCTCTTTCTTCTAATATACTACTTAACTATATAATAAAACGTTCTAATATTATAGCTCTTAGTAAATAAATTAATCTAACTAGAAAGAAGATAGCGCCTTACTCTTACTACGTAAAGGCGGGAAAAGAGTATATAGTTTCTCGAGACCTAAAATATAGTCGCTATAGTATCTATATATTCGCTAGAAAGTTATATAATATTAAAGAGATAAATCGAATACTCTTAGTTCGCGACTAGAAAAGTATTAAGGTTTAAGAAGAGAAACTTTTCTTAGAAGATAAGTAGACTAAAGCCTAGATCTAAGAGATACTAGCTTATTATACTCGTATCTACTAGTAGTAAAAGTTTCTTTAAGAATAAAAATAAAAGATAATTTCGGTAGGTCTTAACTCGTTAGATAAGTTAGATAAGTTAAAGAGAAAAGAGTAGTAAGAAGAAGAGAAGAAGAGAGAGAAGAAGAAGAGAGAAGTAGAAGTAGAATAACTACTAGCCTACTCTACCCCGCCTAATAAACTCTCTACTTATAATCTATCGCTACTTAATTCGAACTTCGATCCTAGGTCTTTTTAGGAGGCCTTAGATACTAGTAGTAGAACTTCTTAAGCTACTTAAGGTAGTTAAAGTTATTTACTAGTTTCTATATATTTTCTAATTATAGATAGTCTTTCTATTTTATTAGATAACGTAGTTTTTCTCTAATAAGTTTATAGTCTAAGATTTTCTTAACTTTATACTTAGTATTAAGGTTTACTAGTTCTATTTCTATAACTAGAGCTAGTAGCGCTCCCGGCAGTACTAGCTCGAGAAGAGATATATAAAATACTAGAAAGATATTTATACTCTTAGATAGAGCTAATTTATAGTTTAAGTATTCTTTAAGTACTTTAATTTTAAATAGTTCTAGTTTCTTATTATCTAGTTTATTACTTAGTTATTTTATTTAAATATTACGTCTAATTAAATAAACTCTATCTTCCTCCTATAGCGTAGGCTCCCGACTATAGCCTTTATTATAGTAGTATACATTTCTTTTAGCGATAAATTTAAGTTCTTTAATAAGTTTCTTATAAAGAGAGAAAAGGTTATCTATAAGAATTCTTTCTATCTAGTTATCGATTTTCGCGTCGTAGAGTTCTTAGAATATAGTCTTCTTATAGCTAAAGTTAGCTTTAAATAGCGATACTTATATTATTTTTGTAGGTATACTATTATATACAAACTAGGCTATAGGTAGTAGTACGACCTAATTATTCTATTTATAGTTTACATAATACCTTAAGTATACTTTAACTACTTAGTTTATTCTCTTATTACCTCTATTTATCTATAGATAGAATAAGGTAGATAGCTTTCGCTTTATTTCTATATATATAGTTACGGCCGTCTAGAGTTTAGATATAAATAGTTTATCTTAGTTAGAGATTATTTTCTCTAGAGTACTATAGTCTATAAATATATATTAGATAAAGGCGTAGGCTAATTTCTTAGTAGTACTAGATTCTTTATATAGTATTAGGATTATATACTTAGTAAGCCTTTCTATTATAACTATAATCGAGTTATACTCGATACTAGTTATTAGGTCTCTTAATAGTAGAAGTTTAATAATAAAGTTTTATAATATTATTTTCTATAGTTATTTAAGAATTAGTATTCTTTCTATAAGTCTATAAGGGCTATAGTACGCTAGTTTATTCTAGATATAGATATTATAGCTAGTTACTATATCTTTTACTAGAGATTAAAGCTTATTAATATAGTATTACTATTAGATTCTCTAGAGAGTTCTCCTTATTTCTTAATAGCTATATTCTAGGGCTTTATAGAATCTCTAGATAAATTCCTTAGCGTATAATTTAGGTATCTTTAGTTTACTATCTTTATATCTAGGCGTTTTTTCCGAAACGTTAGGTTTCTTATTCTAGGTAGCTATAATTTTATTATACTATAGACTATAAATCTTTATAAGAGTAGCGATTACCTTAGTATTAGAGATAAGGTTTTTGTCCTTATCTTCTTTTAGAATAGCTTATTTCTTATATACCTTATTATTCTTATATCCGGGCTATCGACTTAGAGTATTAGCTCTAGAGTTATCTTTTCCGATAATATACTTAATAATAAGGTCGTAATAGGCGAGCTTCTCGGTCTATCTTACTATTCTTTAGTTATCTAGTTTCTTTAAGGTAAGAAATATATATAGATTTTTATAGTCTATATAGACCTTAACCGGGTATCTAGCTTCTAAGAGGTAGATTTTCTAATATTTTAACGATTTAACTATAGCTATAAGTTTCTTCTTATATATATTATAGTTCTATTTAGCTAGCGAATACTTCTCGGAGTAATAGGTAACAAGGTACTACTTTCCGGATTTGTCTAGTTATAGATAAATAGCGCTAATAGTAGTATCTAAGGTATTAGTCTTAATTCTACTAGGTTTATCTTCGTTAAAGCTTCTTATAGCTAGGTTACTAGTAAATCTATTCTTTA